ATGGGAGAGGGATTCAACTCAAGATAGCGCGTTACAAAAAGACAGTGTCCAGTGTGCTGTGGGTGCAAATAACTTTGCTGGTTTGTTACCTTCCATATCTAACCGTGGCATTTATATATTCTATCAGCCGACAAGTAACACCAGCTCTTAGAGACGCTGTGGCAGTAACATTGTCTCTTTTGCTGTGTAACTCATCCCTGAACCCTTTCCTCTACTTCTGGAAGATAAGGGAGGTAAAACAAGCAGTGAAGGAGACAGTCAGGCAATTTTGGTGCTTCTCAAGGCAACTTTAAAGTATCTCTGTCAGTAAACATCTCACTGATTGTTACAATAGACACTCCTTACAAATCCACGTCGATTTAAGTGTGTCATCCAGAAATGGGTGTTACCGCTGGATTTTGTCCATAGAGGGCTCGATTTAATCCTTTGGGTAGTCACTTCGGGGGCCACGTAGGACCGCCGAAAGCCTAATGACTAAGTTCGGATTCACTCGTTCTGGAACAGGTGAGATCTTTTGGAGGAAGACTCAAAGGAATGAAACAATAGCGCGATTAAACGACCTCGAGTAGCAGCATCTACTAGTGTGTCCTCTTTGTTTTGACTTGTCAATGAACTCCAAAGAATGATTGAAAACATTTTATGCCTTCAAGTTTTTTCGCTCAATGTTTTCATGTTTGATTTTCATTGATTAAAACTGAGCATTTTCAGAACTTTAAAAAGAGTTAAACCCTTTAACCCCTAAGAGTGACTAGCATCTAATCTCTCCTTACAATATCACCACTGAATCACACATTGATGTCATGAGAATAAAAGAAATGATCAGCAACTAAAGAAACTCTTGATTGTTTGACAAATTCTCCTTGTCAGCACCTTAGTAAATGTACAGAGAACAATATGGAGAATATGAATACTGATGTTTGGGTGTAAAGGGTTAAAAAAAACCCTAACATTGTAGGACATGATGTCTCTGGGCCTATGAAGACATAACCCTTCATTTGTGTACTATTGTTAGGATCCAGAGTTATCAGAAAAAATATAGGGAAAAAAAAAAGCAATAGTATTAACCATGACTACATCAGTGCCTATTTAGGACAACTAAAAAAATGGTCCACAACAATTATTATACCTATAAAAGCTAAGTCCCATGCGCTGGCATGGTATCATAATTTAAGCAAATACTACTGCTCTTAGGCTTGGAACAGACTCCTCACCTCTTAGAATCAAAAATTCAACTCTGGACCTCATATTGGCCTCATAACAAATTCCTGAAATATTGCATGTACGTCTACTTGGACCATACCTTATGTGCCTGTTATTATACTCTTTGCACAATTTATTTCTTATCATTAATTCAGTATATTTAGTAAGCCAATCAAAAATCTTTTAGTATTAAATCTGTCAACCAAAGCATAGTAACTAGAATAATTTTTTAGACAACTGTTGGTGAAAAGTAGATAGTTATTTTGGTACAATGTTTGCGGAAACAAGACAACGAATTTAATTTGAGAGCTTGTGATCTTGGGTGGACCCCTCAAATTAATTTACAAACATGTGATGAGGGATGGATCCCTCAAGAAACAAATAATATTGCTTTTATTCAAAGGGGATGAGTTTCAATAAAATATTCACCTACAAAGAATGTTATCATGAGCTTCTTGATGTTTGTGAGGCCTCCTTAAATACTGGAGAAAAACTTTGTGCATATGCATCATAGTGCAAAATTGCTTGCACAGATGTAAAAACCAAACTCGACAGGGGCAGCTTAACTAAATCTGCCAACTTATCATGTAAACTACAGAGCAAAGCACACCATCATCAAATATCAAAGCTTTAATTCTTACCTCAAATTTTGCCTAAAGATATCTCTGCGCCTGTGATGTTCCTCCCTCTCCACTGTGTTGGCATATTTTTTGGGGTGCTTTATCAGGAAGTGTTCAAACAGCTCATGTACTTTTTCATGGCCATAGGGTTCGACAAACTCTTGCATAGGGTTTGCCAATAAGCTTGTCATTGCCCCAGGTCCAGGGAAATCTCTACAAGTCATACCTGATTGAACAAGGAAACAATTTAAAACAACAATTAAGCACATGAATGTCTTTAAATAAAATAATGATCTTTTTTTAATCAGTGATATTTATAACTCACTATAGCCAAAAAGTTCAAATGAGAAAGTTTAATCCTTTAACTCCCATGAGTGACCAATGCAGAATTTCTCCTTAGATTATTCTATACAATATCAAGCAGATGAGTTATAAGAATAAAGTAAAATATAACTCAGGGGATAATCAGTTGATCCAATACTAATTTCTCCAAACTAATACTTTAAGAATTGTATGGCAGGCAGTAAAGAGAATTACTAATGAGATCTTGAGAATGAAAGCGGGGTCAAAGAAAATGTTATCAGACCAGGCAAAACAAACAAACAAACAAACAAACCTGGGATCTCAAACACTTTAGCAGGTGGCATTAGAGGTGAATAATCCATAAAATCAATCAAATATTTGTCATAGTGAGAACCCAAAAGAGTGTCGTAGCCCAACATTTCATAGTGAACAGGATTTGGTGGTTCAGACTGGGATGTATACATGTTGTATGTGTTAACTTTGTATTGTTCTGTTTGAGTGTAAGTCCATACTGTACAGTTGCCTACAATACAGTCACCATAGCCACCAAACTGGAGAAAAAAAATTTGAAAACACAAACAAACAATGATTTTTACCTCATTACTCTGTTTAACAAATGAGATATGTTTAGGACTGACTATCAATGAGACTCACTCTCTTCATAATGCTCATCCAACAGTGTCCTCGTTAACAAAATTTTACCATAGACAACAAATAGTTATAACCAAAAATGATGTTTCTAAGATTCCATTCTTACTTGAAGTAATAGGAAGTGTGCATTTTCAGTATTCAGTACGACTATGGGACACCAAAACTTTATTACACATTTTTTGCATGCATGGAGTAAGGTATTCTTCCTGCAAAATGCCATAGTGAAGATAGCTTCAAAAACTGATCTTCAAGAGGACTAACAGCAACATGACATATTTATCTGAAGCCCAGTTGCATTGAAACCATTTTTGACTGATAACTCCCTCACACATTTCCTCAAAGATTACATAACATTGTACAACTTGCCTTGAAATTTGAGAGGTCAGGTAAAACTGACTGTATTTTCACTGGGGCATCCTTTGTTCCATTCACTTGAAAGCAGGTTTTCACATTCAACTCAGTCTCAGTGGTCTCTGGACAGACTCTGTAACTTGAACCAAACATCCCTACATCTTCTCGCTGAATTGTAATGTCCAACCCTTGCAAAAAGGAAACAATTTATCCCAAAGTTTTCATTGGTACTCATAATTACAAAACGCCAATGGTATGAGTTCATTATGAAACTGAAAATATTTGCTAAAATTGCCTAAAAATAGAGCTCCAATTAGTTGATTTTTACTGCCCACAGCTTCATTTGAACTCCTCACAGGCTTTTGAAAAGTTTACTTAAAATAATAGAGGGAGTCTCTGGACTATTGACAACGGAACTAAATGTCCACTTCTATTTGCCCAAGCGACGTTGTTCTCATCAAAAGTCACGGAGATGAGAACATTTTATACAAGACAAAACAGTTTAGTCAGAGACGGACTTGAATTTAGATGCGCTGGTTGTGCGAAACCAGCATAAAGCGCCCATAGAAATGTTAATTAGTTGCGTGTCCCAGGCAAGTAACCTAAAGTGTGGAATACTTAAATTATATTTTCACTTGAGGGCAAACAGGGCGGACCTTGCACTCCCACCAATTTGAAAACTTAATATAAATGATGCGGGAAAGAAAGATGATGACTTGGCGACGTTTCCTGACTCTGAAGGTCTCACCTGAATAATAATCGATCCTGCTCCTGCCATTTTCACCGTCAAACCAAACCTCCATAGGTTCCACGATTTCAGCATATGGCAAGCGCAGCACGCCAGAGACGGTGTAAGCGTTAGACCATTGCGGAGGAGTATCCGACAATGGCTTTGCAACAACAACAGATAGGAGAAGCGAAGAGATCACGTAAGTCAGAGCCATTTTATCACGACCGTTCTTCGAATCACTACAAAATCTCGTGACTGTCAAGACATATAGAGTTACAAGGAGATAAAAACTAGACCCCAGGAATACGTCCTAACACAATAGTCAAGGGCCCGGATTTGCCTTTTTCACAGTGATTGGAATAAAAAATAAATAGAATAATGATTGAACGGGAAACTAGAAAAAGAAAAGAAAACAAAGAAAGACAACCAAAAAAAAAATGCTCGAAAATGTTTATAAGGTTTGCACAGGGAAAAGGGATTAACACCCTCCCTCCCCTCCTCCGTCGGGACGTTCCACACTATCCCCCCTAAAATGGATTCTTTTAGTAGGTCTGCATCCTTGATTAAAAAAAAAGAAAAGTTACTAAAGTTCATTTTCCCTAAACTTTCCCATTCGGATGATGTATTCCTTTCCTTGGCTCGACTCTCCGGCGTGTGATTATTTGCTTTCCGATTTATCTCCTTTACTCCAAATTGTCATCACCTTACAACTTACAACACAGCCTCACAGTGTACCCAAGTACGTGTCAAAAAGGCAGACACTATAATTCACAAACATGGATATTTCAATCCGTTTTGTTGGTGTTTTAAAACTACCACATTGAGTGATCACCCATAAGACCTCACAAAAACAATGAGTAAGATCCTCAGCCTCTTTAGATATTTAATCATACGCATGATAACTACAAATAGCCTTTATTAATTTTGTTTTCTTACATTTGGTCGGTCTTTACAACAAAGGAAACGCTTTTTCATATCTAAATATTTTAATATGTACACATTATTATAACATTTTATATACAATAAAACATTCGAAAAACACTTTCCATGCCTTAAAAACTCACATACTGGCAATCAGTCAAACGAGATTGTGATGAGCTACGATAGCATTCCTTTTAAATGGTGCTCCGTAAACAAAATGATTTTTACCTCTGAGACTGAAATAGAAAAAGTGGCCTTTGAAATAACAAGTTATCAACAGCGAGACTGGTTTTTTTTTTCAAGTCCTTGACAAATAAAAATGATTTATTTCTCCTATACTTATAGTATGACACACGTCTATCAGTCTGGGAAGGGTAGGAGGTCGCTTATCACTGAAAAATAAAAACAGTTTCTGTGTCTTTACAGCCTGGTTAGCCACATTTTCCTTAAGCAAAAATGGCGTCATTTGTCGGTGTTTGCGCGATTTTTGCAGCTTCCATCGAGATCACATCATGGGCGGCATTGTTGGCTTCCAGAAAACGGTTTATGTGTTCAATGACTCTCATCATTTCAGACTGTAAAGTTGTAAGTTTATCTCCATTTTTTATACATCTCAGTTCGAAGTCGGCTATGTCCGCTTTACTTTGTAAGCCACGAAGACGGTAGAAGAATTCTAATGCTTGGCGCATGCGACCTTGTAGAGCAGACAGCTGCAAAGAGAAAAACAAATGTTATCAGAAGATGGAGCCGTGAGGTTTTGTTCAGGACCGAGTGTAACTATATTCTTGTCAGAAGCCCATTACTGAGCTCCTGATTCTGGTACATTCTTCGGTGTTATGGTATTCAAAGTGCTATCTCAGGTAGATTGAGTATTTTTAGGGTAACCGCCGGTTCGTAAAAGTTAACGAATTGTATACGGTATCATTCAACCTGACGAAAGGTTAACGCACTAAACGTCAGCTTCAGAAACCCTTTACGGAGGTCAATAAACATTATCAACTCAATTAATAAACCATATTATCTTGTAATACCCCTGGCTTCCCCCCCCCCCCTAACCACCACAACCGACGTAGCAGCAAATTTTCTTCAGAAACTTATCCCCTGTATACGGTATGGCCTCTCTTTTACTCCTCCTCCGACGAAAAATCTAACCTACTTCCTTTGACACGGTTATCATTTGAAATCTGTTCTAATCTTCCCCCATCTTTAACCAGCCTTGTTCATTGTTGGTGCATAACTGCCTATCTTTTGTTTTCTGTCTTTTTGAGTCAACATCCTGCGGTACTCTTCAAGTCTTAGTCCATAAAAAAACTCGCAAAACATCTTGACGTAAAGATTGCTGCATTACAAAGAAATGATGGTACTTTGAGCAATTTTACTTAAAAGCACCTCTCTGTGATCTTTCAAGCTGTCTTCATTGTTAACTCTTCTCTCGACAAGCCTCAGCAAAGCAGCTTTGTTATTCAACAAGGTGTTTTGCGACCTTTGGTAAACTATCGCCAGTTTCTTGTTTTCACTCAGGGCTGTTTTTACTCCTCTCTAGGGAATAAAAAAAAGTTTAAAAGTTTCTTTAAGTCCGATTGGGTAGTCAGGGCTCACTTCTAATACAGTGACGGACTGAGCTTGTAACCTTCTGTCTTGTTAAGTTTTGACCGTCCACTAGATTTATATTGAAACAAATAAATTTTTCGCTCTGATTAGGGCCTTGCCCCATCAACTATCACGCGATAGAAACAACGAGCTCATAATCTTATTGTTAACCTTTAACCCCTAAGAGTGATTAACATCTAATTTCTCCTGACAACATCACCCCTGAATCAAACGTTAAGGTCATGAGAATAAAGGAAATGATCATCAACTAAAGAATCTCTTGATTGTTGAACAAATTCTCCTTGTCAGAACCCTTGGAAATGTCTAAGAGTAGTTTGGAGAATATTCATTCTGATGTTAGGGAGCAAAGGGTTAAATAGTTCCATGTCATTTATTTGAAGAGGAGTTTCCTCCTCTCTCCAGCGTCTTGTTTGCATAAATTATAATACATTGCGTTTCACTCAGGTTTTCCCGCCACATGACAAATCTCATTACCTGATTGGTTGTTAACACCTGATCCCTTTCTTCCATATGCTTTTCGTGATTATCTTTGCTTCGATTGATTCTCTCTACAAGTCAAATCACATGCAAAGTTCTTCACTAAATAAATAGCGCTCTGTGCAAGTTTTGCTTGATAGAACAACATGACGTGAATGGTAGGTAGCACGTTTTGGTTTTTATTCATAGGGTTTTTAGGAACTCCGGAGAACTTGCTTGAGAGATGATTTTGTGACAAATATAATATGCTAGTAAAATCCCTCGTTCTCATAACAAAAAGAGTGAGACTTGTTCCTATCTCGGTAAACCGTGTGCAGGATACTTTCACGATAGTCTTCAGTTCACCCAAAAATGTTAAGAAACAGAGAGAGACGCAGATAATTCTCACAACACTGCATGGGTCGCATTTATGTACAAAATACCTTCAAGTTGTTGAAGGGATTTCTTTAAGCCTTGCTCGGTTTCAAATCCTGTCTCTATTTGAATCTTTAATTCAGTCATTTCCTCGCTAAAAAAAACAACATTTTTGATATTATTTCCAGTGCTTGCAGGGTTTATGTACACGAGTAAGAAAGGAAAAAGTTAGGATAGATATACAAGTGACGCTGCGAAGAGACGTACAGTACGCGCGAAAAGGAAAAACTTCAGAGCATGCGCTGATAAAGGTATCAATGTGCGGAGGATAAGAGCTCTTTCACCAACGCAACCACAGATTACTTGCGACACTCATTTCGCCATTGCTTAGACTAAGAGCAGTCTCTACTTTTCAGTGAGGTCCGTCGCGCGAGTCACACAATATAAGCGAAAAAAAAAATGGACGTTGGAGCTTCGCACGGAAATCTGGGAGTGCGATTCGCGCGGTGCGCTTTTATAAAATTTTTTCGCCGGTTTTTTTTTACTTGCACGACGGACTAAGCCGAAAAGGAGGGACTGCTTTTAGTCTAACAATTGCTCTGCGAACGTTTAGGTCTTGAGAAAGCGCGCTTCATGCATGAAAGCCCTTAAATAGTTGAGTGAGTGAGATTATGAATGAGTGAATAAAGAAGAAGAAAGAAATCAAACAGTTTACGACAAAGTTACTCACTTCAGATCATTTATATTCTCTTGGGTTGTGGCTATGACTTTGTTCATCATTTGCGAGGAAGACTCCATGTCCGCCATTTTCTTCTCCATCATCTCGGATTTCCAAGTGATGTGATCTAAACGTTTAGTTAATTCCATGGTTTCTTTCTGCAATAGACCAATCAAATGTGAAGGGAAAGTGTTCTACACATGGATAGCACCTCTGAATGAAACCACGCATGTCATGTAACATGAAACACAAAAATTCATCCAATCAAACCTTTAATTCCTCTTCTTTCGGGAGCAGCTCAGAGATTTCACCCTGGAATTTCGATTCCATATCGTTGTATTGTTGTTTCACCTTGTCCAAAATCTTGTTAAGTTGCGCAATGGTCTAATACAGTAAAGAAACAAAATGAAAAAACGGAAGTTGCAGATGAAATTGATGAAAACTTTATCAAAAAATCTTATCTGATCACGAAATGTAAATCTGAGAGGATAAGTCTTTCTATAGCTTACCTCTTGTCTCTCATTATGAATCTTTTCCAGTTTTGAAACCTGAGGAAATCAATTGTCGGTCCATAAATTAATCACTCAATCAGTTGGTCATTTCATTAGTTACAAAAACCATCAGTCACTTAGCCTGTCAATTCCTCGAGTTTCGAATAAAGGAGTTAAGTTTCTATTAATACTGCGGTGCTGTGTCGGTGAGGGCATTACAACATAATGTGATTTTATCAACAAAGGTAATAACGTTTATTGGCCACTGTAGAGAGTTTCTAAAGCTGGCGGCGTTTCGAGCGTTAGCCCTTCTCATGCTGTAAGAATCGATCAGTGAGCCAGTCAGTGAGTCAGCCGGTATTCTTTTTATCTGCTCAAAGAACATATAGGCATTCCATAATATCTAAAGGTTAAAACAAAAAAAAGAAACTACCAACCTGGTCTCTCACGTGATCAACAAGCTTTACCATTTCCTCTGCCCGCTGTGTAGCCTAAAAGAGGAAAAAGTTATCACCTCTCAGTTGCAAGAAATGACAGGTACAAAATATTTTATTTTATGGTATATCTTAAAGATGATTATTTTAAAGATTTCTAAAACAATTTATGACATTAGACAAAACTTACTTTTTCCCGTTTCTTTTTGGAGTCAACGTGTGTCTTGGCAAGGTCCTGTGTGTCTGATGTGATCCTTGCCTAGTGGGAAGAGAGAAAGCATACATTAGCCTTACATTGCCATGGTTCCACTCGTTAAAGTCGTTAATGGTCATAGAGGTAGCTTTGAAAATCGCGCAAAATCGTCCTTTTACCTTGGGGGCTTTTGAGACGACTAGAATGATTCCGACAACCATAAAGAACAATAAGAGTGGTGTGTTATCTTCACTGACCTGTAGAACAGTCCTAGCATGAGCTTCGTCCTTAAGTTGTTTCTTGAGCGCATCAGCAGTAGTTTTCAGTGATTCTTCAATACCCATTACTTCTTCTTTCTTAACAACTAGAACTTCTGAGAGGTTGTCATGAAGAACCTCGACTTTCTTCGTCTCTTCCTTGGAAACCTGAGCAATAGTAATACTATCACGTTCAGTAAAAGTAAAAGTGCCACCTGAGACGTGAAAAAGGTAAATCAACGGCCCCTGTAAATTTTGGAAAGTCGACCTCCCAGCCTTAGGCGCTTCGTAAGACATATGTTCGACTAAGTCATGAAGGTGCTTCATTCGTTCGCCATGCAGCACACTGCAATAAATTTTTTTAAGAAACAAATAACTTTGTTCTGTTCTAAGATCTCTCCTTAAGTTTTTGGAAATTTAAGGTCAATTATTATTTTTTATTTTCCCAAGTGTTGACTCAGATTTTAAGGAAAAAAATAAAGATCGAGGTGCTTAATCAAACCCTTCACACATGCATCACTGTCCTCGGGTTCATGGTTATTTTTGACATCACAATATACCACAACAATTGCAATAATTATCACACAGTTCATTAAGAATTTGCCTTACATGGAAGTACACCCTCTGTATTTGTAGTCCAAATTCCAATGTAAAACGCTTTATAATTTAAAGGTCAACAAAAGCTACACCCAAGATTACTGCATAATAATGCACATGCATATACCTCCATCTGCTCTTCAATTTTTTCCATCTCCTGTTGTGCTCTCTTCACAGCCTTCTCATCCGCAATTTTTTGTTTCGCACTGTCAGGAAAAAACAAGAGATCACCACTTGAGAGAAACTTACTTTGATCGACGCCTTTTTGGACTTGAAAACCTAAATGAATAACTGACGCGCAGCCTATATAAGTTCTACACAGCCATTTTCCTCTCTAGTCGTTTACAATACAGCGTGAAGAATACGCATTATCTTGAGCGTTTTTCAGAGGAGCGGGGGAAAGCGCAAGACACACACGAACAACAAGGTCACGCGGGACGGTGAATCATTTTTCCGCGCTCCGGAATAAAAATTTTTCTTTAAGCAACGCATTGTATAGAATCTTTATATGCTAATTAGAAAACTCCTTCAAAAAGGCCATTCATTACACACCATTGTTCCAGCTTCATGTTCAGCTTGCTATTTTCAGCTTTGCTTTCTTTGATTCTTCTGGTTAAGTCCTTTAGTTTCTTGGAAGCATTCTTGATTTCAAGCTCCAACTTGCTGTTTTCGCTTTCCATAGACGCTTGCTTAAAGAGCCACAAAAATATCAGAAATAAGCAAGGGTGTCAAAAATTGCAAAACTTCCAAGATATAAATGGCTTTCAGTTGTTATCAAAAGAGCTGTAATATGCGCATTCATAATATTTCGGATTCTTTGGAATGAAAGAAAACTTAGAATTTGCGCATCTGGAAAAATTTATCATAGAAGCTTTCAAATTGTTCTTCGCCTAGAGTTAGATTCTCTACATCCTCAATCATTCTTGCTTTCTACGGCTTTTTGCTATCTATTCGAAAAAAAGTGTATTCTGGAAACGATAATTTCTGTTATTCCACCAAGGTATGTTAAAGAAGCTTCCAAGTTACAAATAAAATAACCTAAAATATCTGACGGGAATCTAAGACTCTTCATAGTCTGCATCTCGTCATAGGCGTCTGCTTTGAACAGCGCATTGAAATTTTTAAGTGGAATCCATATATTGATTGCTCATTCTCCAACATATCGCAGTGAAAGTCTCAGCTGTCAACAACAAGTTCACTTACTGTTATCTGCTTCTCCGTCTTCAGCTTGTTGTTCTCATCTACAAGCTTTATATGTTCTGCTTCTTGTTCTACAATTTTCTCTCGAATTCTTTGCACCTAAAAAAAATGAACAACTCTTTTACTTTCTGCTGAAGGAGTAAAGTGTAGAATGGTATACGTGCTAAAAGACCCATGTTGTCACACAGTTGGCGTGTTAACCCACTATCCATAGTGTGAAGCTAACATGAGTGTCACTATACTCTCCCAAGCGAAAAAGTAATCTGTTACCAATTGTCCCCTCAGTATTTTGTCAGGTGTCTCAAAAAAGTTTGCCAGTTCCCATTTGGCTCCATTTATACTCGCGAGTGCAGAGAGGTACACATGTTTATGTTATGTTGCATCTCCCACAGAGACGACAGGTGAGAAATTAGTTACAAAAAGTCGGATTACAAGTGAAACAGATTTATCACGGATGTAGTTGTAACCTTGTCTTGCTGAGTTGCTTCTAAGGCCTTGATTCTTTCTTCTCTTCTTTCTGAAAAACAAAGCATACAACTTGCTGTTGATATACAATTTGAAAATGAAGTGACCAATGCAATGGAGAAAACACTGAGTCAAACGGCTAAAGTCAAGAAAATGCAACAGGACTGAAGTAACAGAATAAGCTGGTTGAATTGTGCCCATATTTTTGAGCTTCGAATAGTTTGATCAGATTTGATCATTATAAAGCACTGCATTCCAAAGGAACTGGATTTTCAAATACATGTAGTTGTTTGATAGGACAAAAAGCACTGTAGAGATGAGAGTAAATCAAAAGGAGTCTGGATGGCTAAGGAGAGTGAAAATGGAAATGAAACACTAAAAAAATTTATGCTGATTCACTTTTCAGGGTGGACAGAACATGACATACAGTAGCTCCTCTGGCCACATAACTTTAACTACTCAACTCTTGCATTTAAAGCAATAATTCTTGTTTTAAAAAATTTACAGTCACACACTTGTATTACAAAAACTCACCCAGCACTACAAGCTGTTCGGCATTTTCTGTGAGAGTGTTTCTGATGTCATTCATAGTATGTGTGTTAGACGTATAGTACATCCTTAATTGTGCCAGTTCATCGCTGTTTGGTTAAAAAAATATATATTTATTGTTGTAATAATTTTCAGGGGTTGTTCATGGGCTATTCTCTAGCAGTGCATAACTGGGTGTGAGATACTGCACCCCATTAATTTAACCACAAATGAAAATGATAGGGACTTTCAACTTACATGGGACACAAGGAAGTGATTAATATTAACTAACTTAACTGAATAATTTTAGGGCAGAATCCAATGATACAAGTCATCTTTTTCAAATGCTTGTAAAGCTAACTAGGCAGAGGATCAAATATTATATGTTGCAGTCATCACTATTTACTTTGTTACTACCATTCCATGCAAAAGTGACACAGAATCACTCATACACATACGATTGTCAATATTTTTATCAAAAATCAATTTACTTTCATGTGTATGTAGAGAACATGATTTCATTGAGTTTTAATATTTTGGCCAATTTGGCCTCACTCGTCCCTTTTTACTCTCCAGGTACTGTACAATTACACTTAATGTATTAAATTTTAATAGTCAATTTGTAATGCTGAAAAACTCAATAGCTTGTGAAACTAGCAGTCTTGTGGACCCAAATTGACATAAAGCCAAAAGAGTAAAAAGAACAAGCAGTGAGCTGTTTCAATTTCCATTTCTTTGCTCCCCTCAAAGCACAGTGACAGTCCAAGCACTAAAGAATCCTTAACAACTGCCAGCTTACAGGCTGGACAAGCAGAGGGAGAAAATCCATAACTAGCTCCAGAATGGGCTATTTAAAATGTTTAATAAAACATTTAAATACCTGACAGCATTGAGTTCATTGCGTACAACATCAACCTCCTGTTTTATTAGAGCCCTTTCTTGAGTAGCTTTTCCTTGAGCTTCCGCTGTTTTTCTTTCTGTAGCCTCTAGTCTATCAAGAGTATTACTTAATTCTTCATCTGTTTCATCTTGTTTAAGTTGTATGCTCGACATTGCTTCACCTTCTAGATCAAGTTTCTCTTCAACCAAAGGACTGAAAATGTAAATTCATTAATTTTATTCATTAGATTTTATTATATTAATTTTATTCATTAGATCAAACCTTAATCAAAACATTAATTTAATCTTACAAGGACAATATAATAAACTGTCCCAAATATATCCAACCATGACAATATTTAGGATTGAAAAAAGTGAGTAGATTTGAGAGACAAAAGAACTTTGCATGTAGTTTTCAGGTGGTAACTTGTAAAATTTACTACCTGTATTGCCTCTTATTACCTCCAAAAAAATTGTTTGGAATCCTCAATAATTCAACAGGTAAACAGACTGCTCTTCCCTTTTGAAATTTTGTTCTACTTGTTGTACTTGAAATAAGGGAGAGCACCATGTATATAGCATCTACATCAGAAAACATGCTATCATCTAGTAAAAAAATTATAATTCTATTATTTTGTTCAAGTTTTAAGACTGTTGTTCATTAAGGAAGTGTGCAAGGAATTCCCAGAGGAGATGTCACTGTACACAACTGACAAATGAAACAAACGTGATGAACCCTGTTAACTCACCAGTGTTTCTGTATGTTGCTCAGATCTTGCAAAACCTTTGTATGTCTAACTTCTACAGAAGGAAATAAAAGCAACATGGAATTTGATTATCTTGCTAATATAAGTAATTTATGGAGTAACATCTATTAAACAACCTAATCAAAATTAATTGAGTGGTTGGACAGTGTCCTGTGAATTAAAAGCAGTAAAATTCAGTGTTATCTCAGCATTACACATGTATAAACTAAGAAAGGATAATTGACTAAATCAAAATCACACCTGCATGATGCACCCTTTCCTTGATCCTGGCTTCGATTCTGCCTTGATAAGCACAATGCCATCTTAACTCATTTATATCAATAGCACAGGCTTCATGCTCTATAAAGAAGAGAGAAACTAACTGAACCTCATTCTGTCTTGAGCATTGTACAAAAAACAAATATGAGTCAGTAAAAGACATCCACAGCAAACCTGTGTTAGGTTATGAGGAATACCAGTAAGAGTTAATGCAACAATATGTTTCAAAGTAAAGTATCTTTGGTATGTTAAGCATGCTCATTTGGTGAATTTAGAAATATCTTAAATGCTCATGAATTCTTTTTTGTTTACCCCTTTGCACGGCCAGTGGAAGATCATGCATGCGCTTGTAGGCCTGAGCATCAATCTCATTTCTGAGGAACTGCACTCGTTCTCTTTCTTTAACCAAGCCATCTTGAGTTGAAAGTCTGTCACTTTCCATTCTCCCTAGTAATGTTATGACCTCTTCAATGACATCATATTCCTTAGGAACAATCTCACCAGCAGCAGACTTTGGAGTTGACACCTTACTCATCACTGTTCCAGCACTTCTTCCTCTTACCTGTAAAACAAAACATTGAGATATATGTAACTTTCTGGCCTGCATTTACAAGAGAGCAGATGATAACAGGCTTTCCACATTAGCACTGTCTATAATGACTATGCAGCAAACCAAAAAGATAATTGTGCAGGATATTTTGAATATCCCTTAAAATAAGAACATTGTAAGGCAAATAGACCATTTTACAGTTGTGTACTTAGTTGCCAAGCCTCTGATTTGGAGTGAGGCTGAAGGTGACCTTGTTATGATAGAGACCAGTATCTAGTTGGCATGATAACAAAGTAATTTTCATTTGAAAAGCAGCAACGTTTGTATCATAACAAGGTCACCCTCAGCTTTGTTCCTGTTCAAAGGCTTGGCAACCAAGCACACAACTGTAAAATGGACTATTCTTCCTGCCTGCCTTTCAAACTCCACCAACTGCCTAATCGTTAGTTCATGTAAATAGATTTTGATATAAAAACGTTGATCCATTCTTGAAATGACAAAATTAATTAATATTCTTGGTATCCTTTTAATTACCATGCTTTTACTTCCTTATAAGTTGTATATACATGTATTCCTGACCTCTAAAGTAGCACCACTGGCAGAGGACTCCAGCCTTGGTTCAACTGATGTCATTTCCTCTTCAATGTTACCAAGGGATGCTGAGCTAAGAAGCCAGCGGATGCGTCTGCCATGGCTACTAGCTGAGGATAAATGGGTTGAATCTTCAAGAGGACCTTGACTTTCTAATAGTTCCTCTTTATCCTTAGCATCTAAGTCTGGAAACAAAATATAATAAGACATTAGCTGGAGTTTTGATAAGTCAAGATCAAATGTATCATGACTTGTTTGAAAGGAAAACAATTGTATGATTTCCTGCTGCAATTTCTCAAATCTGAGGGTTTTATAGTACATACATGTAACATAATATAACAATGAGCTGAGGCAAATCCAGAGGTTTTTTTTAAAAATTGGGACATTAAACTTTTGTGGTGAGGACAAAACCTCATGCTATACCACCAACACATTTGACACCTAATCAAAAGAACTTGTGTTAAAAAAGAAAAATACCAAACCAATAAGTGCACAAGGCCTCTGTAGACTCCCTTTAAACTTGCACATCCAAATTACATGCATGATTCTACTGTAGCCTTATGATAGAGTGGCTGATGTGCACAATTTCTGAAGGAAACTCATGATTTTCTTATTCCCTATAGTAGTACTTAGGGCCATGCCTATTTTAATACAGTCACCTGCTTAAAGCAGTTCTAGATTACCTAATACTACACTGGATCTTTGCCTGCCATTTTTTCCCTTTTCATCAGGAAGATCAGTCATGTAGAATGCATCAATCAGGTCTTGCAGTTTATGTAGATGGGAAACTGCTTTCCTAACACATGAGGATGTGCTTTTCACCAGTTCGCAGCTTTTGCGTCGCCATGATCTGTTTCTAAATTGTGGCCATCCCTCTGGGAGTGAAGGAACAATGTCTGGAGAAGTTTAATTAAAAGTGTATTAATGACATTACACGATAACATTAGTCTATGAATAATTCATATCATGCAAAATTAGACCCTGGGAACACTTTTTATCATATGTATTAATATTCATTATCTGAAACTTGGGCAACATCATATCCTAGATGATAATAATAAAAAAAATTCCTACATTTAGATTTTAAAATATAAAGTGTACTGAAAATTTCATGAAACAGGTCCCAGGGGTCATAACCAGGCAAGTTATAAGTCAATCAGACCCTTATCAAAGGGTGGATAACACTTTCCACTGTATCAGGAGGATAGTGCATAACTTTTGTTACCACCTATGTATCTGCTAGATGGTGGTACGTCCAGGGGATAGTATTACCGGCCCTTTGAACTACTAGGTCCTGATGAATTTGTTTGCTTAGAGTGCAAACATCTGTTTCAGCTTTTAAAACAGTCCAAGGTCTACATCAACATCAACTGTGGAGATCACAATTGGAGGTGTCTGTAGGCTTACATGTACAGTGGAACCTCCATTCACAGGATCTCCAGTGTACATGAAGACAAAATGCCAGTAATGAGAGGTATACCTTCACTGAAGATATCAAATACAAAAATAATAGGAGCATTTCTTAGTTTAAACCGGTATTTGTGTCCCTTGAATGATTGTAGCCCTGAGATGAATGAAGGCTGTTAACTACAAAGAGAAATGTACCTCTCCCTTCTTCCAATTTGTCCTTGTCGTGAATTTCCACTGCAGCTACCTCATGGTGCGCAAGGACAAGATCTTGTCCACTCTCTTGCGACACTAAACTTCTTCCATCAAAATAAGGCACAATTGCCAAACCAGAACTTCCACTAATTTCTGATCTTGAGTCCTCGAATAAGGGAACATCCAACTTTGCCAGCTGTACATCACTCTCGGAATAATGAGTTACAACTTTCCCTTTTAAAGGAACACCTTCCTCCTTTGCAGCTAGTTTTACTTTCAGATCTGTTTCACTGAACGCCGACCTCTCCAATGGCGACTTTTTGCTTTTACTAAGACTCCAGTTGACATTTTGACCATTTTGTGGTGCAGATGGCGTCTCATTATTTCCCGGGTTTTTTTGTCCATCTATCTCATACTTCCCTACTTTATCTACAGTCGGCATTCCTGTGATCTTCTATGTTAAGTTTGCACACTCTGAGTCCAATTTTAATGGTGAGATTAACGATGACTTGAAATGGCATACAGAATTGACACGACCGCCATCTTGGGGTGAAATTGACTTTTGATTGCTAGGCGACGGATGAAGCAAACGGTACAAAAACGAGGCTAACGTGACGTCACGCTGTTATTCCGTGTTTTGAGTTTAAGTTTAAGATGGGGGGCCAGCATTCTCAATTCACGGAAGAAGAACTGAAAGATTATCAGGTAAAAGTTCCATCTATTTACTCCATCCGTTTTTTAATCTTTTCACTGATATTACTTGGGTTTCTGGTGGGAAAAAAACGTAAACATTCTCTCATTTGGATGTGTCTTCATGCTGCAGGAACTGACGTACTTTACTCAAAAGGAAATCTTACAGTAAGTTTCTGCTTAGCTTTACACGATTTACGAGAAATTAATTCGTCGATATGGTATTTTTTTATAAATTCGAGGGTTAGAATGTTTTATGACTAAAATTAATGAGGTTTTTTAGAGTGCATCAGCTTGATTGAGCCGCTGTAAATCAAATTTTAACTTCAAACGAGAAACTTAATCACATTAACGTAATTCGTGTCTTCTAATAACGATGGGTCTTTGCACGCCTTCGAGGTAGATTTCATTTTCAAGAAACATTCTCAGGTGACTTTTCACATGCTGACCTTTTATTTGCTATGTTTAAAATGTCAATTTTACTGGTTAGAGTAGTAGTTATTAACATATTATACATGTTAGGTTGTCTAAGAGAGACATACATGTAAGATTGCATTTTAAATCATATAATCATTTCATTAATACCTTATTTTACTCCTATAGTTGTCATAAAAGATTTTCACAACTTGATCCAGACGCTGTGAGACTTAACAAAAATGCAAAACTTTCATCAAGATTGATCATGACCTTACCAGAGCTAAGGGTATGTAATCTACTGCTGTTATTTTTCCATTTTAAACTAGTCAGAGTAACTTCAAGAGCAACATAGAGCCAGGGTTAAATGCTTACCTGTGTTTTATAATGTCACTAGTAGGATTTTTACCAGTTGTATCTGATTCTTACTCTTTTCAAGATAAAATTTGAACAATGATGTCTGGTTATTTTATTATCCAGGTGAATCCCTTTAAAGACAGAATTTGTAAAGTATTTTCCTCATCCAAGGATGGAGAACTGACATTTGAAGATTTCCTGGATATGATGTCTGTTTTCAGTGAAAATGTGAGTTTACAAGCTTTCCTAAAATGGTGAATATTTTAGGATTAAAGACTGACCTGAGTGTGTCGAAAGAAGAAATACTGAATGCATTGACTTTAGACTAAACAAAACCTCTTTTTGGGTTTAAATTTTCAGGTATCAGTATGTCCCTAATAAACTTGGTTTTATAAAGCTTTGTAGACTGAAATTTGAAAAGTTTGATTTGGATTTAACATAATCAACAAATACACATTGAATCTTATCACCTCTCTCTACAAGGCTGTGTGTGATAAAAAAAATATGTTTCTTAAATTTCTTGTTTACTTTGGCCGATTTTTAAACTTTCAAGGAGAGAAAACATTATTTTAAAGAGATGGAACACAGAAAAATTGCACAGATCCTGAGTCCTGTAATATCAGGCCACCTTTTTGGCTATCTCAAGTATTTTACTTAGAGTGACTGTTGTTGGAGTTCAGAGAACCTTAATCAGTATAGCAATTAGATTTGCTAGCCTTTGGCCAGCCATTTGTTCTGTTTTCTACTCCAAAACTGTTTTTTATCCCAGAAATCTGTCTCAGACATAGAGGAAAGGTACTCAGGGAGGGGGAGATTGCTGTTAGTTGTGTTTGTTGTTATACCCCTCCTGTGTGATTCTAACCCGTTCTTTTCCTTTACCTTAGGCTCCTAAGAGTGTAAAAGTGGAGTATGCTTTTAGGATTTATGGTAGGTTTGACACTGAGTAATTGTAATTTCTATGAAAAGGTATTATTCTATTTCTTTAATCCTCTTTTCATTTGCTTTTTGTGTCATTTTACATAACTAAGAATTCAGAAGATTTTCAAACTTGCATACACTGTAAGTAGTGTAGACTCCTGTTCCAATTGATGACAAAAGTAAATGATTTAAAAATTTTGTGACATTTGATATCCTCATGTTATTGTTGTTGAAGGGGGGGGGGGGTGAAATTCTGCTTGTTTAATAGTAAAATCAAGTGTAGGGTATCTTTAATCTGAAGGTCTTTTTTTAGTGACATGAACAAAGCAACATACAAATTCAGCATAATCTCTGTAAAAAGCCACAGGCCACAACAAAGTAGTAGACACATTTCCAGTGAAATTGTGGATTATTTTTTTTTGCAATGCATGTGGGGGCAGTCTTTTACAAATTCCACAATCTGATTGGTTTTGAGAGCATGCAGTATACTCCCAATTGGCATGCTCACAGTGGATGGCATTCTATCCATTGCTTGTTGAGTTGCTAGAGACATCCTTAGCTTTGTTGTAAATTTTCATAAATAACTTTGTTTTTCCATCTGGGCAGCATTTCCAAGCAAAGATTTTGGTCACAACCTTTAGCCAATAAATAAATAACTCAATTCTCTCCTCTCTCTCTCTCTCTCTCTCATATTACTTTGGTTTTTTAAATAGACTGACATGCTGCCTACAAAACTGTTTGTAATTTTATAATCCTTCTCAAAAAGTAACTCACTAAGTTGAAACCAGGGGTATTTGCAGTTAAAAATTATATTCATTTAACCAAGGTAAATTTCATCCATTTTATTATCTGAATTCTCCAAAACAATTTGCTTGTTGTAAAACATTGAACAAAATTTTGAGTTCTACTATAAATAAACTTTCAATAATTCTGCAAGTCCCATGAATTGACATTTCTAAGGTACATTTCACAACAGCAACCAAGTAATTTGATAAATAAAAGTTGCATTAAATCCCCATGTGTCTGGCTAGAAAAAGCATTGCACTTGACTTCTGTTTTTCAGTGGAAGAAGGACAAGATTTACATATGCCATTGAAGCAGACAAACAGATAGAGTCTCATAACTTCAAAACCTACATTTAGATTTACTTACAATTTGACTTTCCTTGCCTTTTAAAACTGGACAGAGGTAATTCTTTGTAGATAAATTGTCATGAGAAAAGTGAAAATTTTTTCCATGAGATCAGTGAAGAAGAAAAGTCACTGTGACAGTCATTTAACTTGAGTTTGCCTGCCAAACCAGTCTTACTAGCTCTCTAATTATTGAGTGTCAAATCATGAGAGATACTTCAAAGTTTGCTAGGAGGCCTTTTAAATCACCCTTATCAGTATGCAGATAAAGGTGTTTTCATGAAGGCTTGCTTTTTAATTTACACTACCTCTCTTTTCTCTACCATCTACTTGCTCATAAACTGTTCAGTTTATGAGGATCTTACTTTCATTCCTTTGAAGAGCATTTGGTTACATTTTAGAAAAAGTGAAAATGTTATTCACTAGCCTAGGTCGGTCCATATTTGGAAAAACTGTGCCCTCTGTCATGAGTACCACCTACAGCCTCGGGCAGTATTCAAGAAATCAGGCACAGTTTAATATGGACCTCCCAGCTGGTGAATAACATACATATAACCTTAACCACTGTTAGTCTTAGTTTGACTTGTGTTCTCCAAAGATTTTTATAGTAGCACCCACCCCTTATGAAATATAAGGTTGCAAAGGTCAAAATTTATTTGAGATGGAGATAGGTATTTTTTTCTTAAATGTGGCTTCAGAATGGAGTAACTGGTAAAACTGCTTGTTGTTGGTGCCTCTGGAGAACACACTATGGCTCCCTCTTCTTCAAACAATGCATTTTTTTTTCTTTGATTGTACAACATTGAAGACAGGAACAAGATTTGGTGATGTGAAATGTGGTACACTCTAAACTCCAATTTTTTGATACTCTAAAGTGTCTACCAGAATGATATTCATCAACAAAGGTTTTTGAGATTTGCTGCACCCACGACTAATGAAAGTGTTTGATTGCATTCACAGATTTCAATGACGATGATTACATCTGTGATAATGATCTAAAAAAAGTTATCCAGCGACTGTGTGGGGAGCAGAGGTTGTCTGATGATAATGTGAATGCTTTAATTCAAAAGGTAAATCATCTATTCAGCACAGTGATCACTGATAACATCTTCAAAAGTAGTTTGCATTTCTCAAGGAATCTTTTTCTTCCTATGTGCATGGTAAAGCTAACAATTAGCTGTCTTATTTTAATGATGCTGGTTCACAGAGCTTGAAGGTACTTATTTATGCAATTTACTGTTGAAATAATGTTGATGAATGGTTGGAAATTACCTGGCAAGGTAAATTCATGGGAGCTGATGATTGGGAGAATATTCAATCATTAAGTTTATTTATGGTGTTGATTGGCATGTTCAAACAGGTAGCATTGTAAATTTTACTCAGTACAAAAGGTGTGAAAGTAAGGTATACTGTAAGTGATTTCGAAAGAAAGCTCTTTTAAGCAATTGTCTCAAACATCAGTAAAGAGGCAGGATTGATGAAGAAAGTCAAGAAAGAAAGATTTTCCATGAACTACAATGTATCAAATTGTCTCCTATCCAGGATTTAGTGGTCTTGAGCTTGTAAATAATCTTGACTACTGATAATTTTAATTTCCAAGACAGAGCTAACTCTTATAGCAGTTTCAAAGTGGCAGAGACACTATCTAAAGTTTTTCTTTTGCTTTAAACTTTGCTCCAAGGTTACAGGAAATATGCACTTTGATTCATATCCAAAAACCCCATTCAGGGGAAATTTAACCTTTCAGTGAAATAACTGACTAACTGTCTTCATTTTGTCCAGCCCTCCCACCCTCTCTCCATGGATAGTACCAGAACATTCAACCAAATGTAGAGTTTTTGTTTATGTACTATTGACAACAAAGAAACTTTTTCCTTAGTTGAGTCCTTTATTTCAACAGCTATTGCTTTGCGCATATTCTTTGAAAATTGTAGGAAAATGAATTTACAACACAGCATCACTCCATTCATCATAGCATTAATTTGATAATAATTTGATATTAATTTGATGAACTCTTGTGTGATATTTATAATCATTCTTTAGAATGGTGAAATGCCAAAAATTTACAAGTCACCTTAGAGGGAGAATGATGGTCCAATGCACTGATTTGTAAACAATTGTAACAACCTTAAAGTCAACCAGCTGGCAAGACTTATTACCCCTTTAAATGTATTACAGCAATCCAATTAACCCTTTAACTCTTAGTCATGATTGATAAGCAAATTCTCCCTAAAACATACATACATACATTATCCAGCAAACAGGTCATGAGAATATTCAAACTTATCAGGTAAAACTTGTTATCTTGATCCAACACCAACCTTTTGTAACTAATTTAAAAGGAAAATCGCTCTGACGAAGGGCTAACGCTCGAAAACGCTCAAAACGTCAGCTTTTTTACCCTTTACGGTGGCTAATTTACATTTTCAACCCAGTTGTTAACACTAAATTACCTGCTAATTTAAAAGGAAATGTCTAGCAGGTGGAGGGGAGAATTAACTATCAGATCTTGAGATTTAAAAGGTTAAAGAAATTTCACTTCAGTTATCAACTAATATGTCACACAAAGAAAATTTTAAAAAAGCAGAAAAGTTAAGACTAGCAGTTCTCTATCTACTCCAGCTCTTTTATTCGAAGCTTGTAGGAATGTCTTGGAAGTCTCAACTGTCTTCTTTATATTCTCTTCATTTGTCGCCATTTCTCTTTTTCAAGGGAAGGTTGGCATCTGTTTGTGTAACTGGTATACTAGGTAATGGTTCAAATTCCAGTTCTACACTTTTGGGCCTCTTGCCCTCAATACTGTTGTGATATCCATACAAAAAATACACAAACATCCCTGAAATGACAGAGAAATACAATTAGTGAAATATGTTTTTTGTTCTGTATTTTGTTCTTAATGTTCTCTTTGAGTCAAGTCTGGTTCTTTTAATGTTTATCTGGTTGGTTCAAGGGGTAAGCACTTTTCGGTAAGGGGCAACCACAAGTGATGAACGTTTTCCCATGCTCTTATTTTGACGCTGTTGATATAAATTAGTAGAGTTTGATTTCCACAGTTGAGAAGGTCATTAGAACTCTGTTTTCCATTTTCTTGCATCACTGACTTTGTGTCCATTTGGAAGGTATTCACAAGTCTGTCGCATAACTTTTTTGGTGTCATCAGAGGATTAATTAAAGGAGTGGCAAAAATTTTAACACTTAACTGTTGTGTTGGTGGTTTGAAAAAAAAAATCTAGACACAGTTGTCCTCTTGGAAGCATAGTTATGATATTGAGTTTAGTTTTGTAGTTTTTCCACTTTACTGCCTCATTGATTTGTTCTCGAATGCAGCTTATTATCGTTAAGATTTGGATATGATTAGTTTTTCATGTTTCGTTGCCTTTTTTGCGTTCATGCTTCGTTGCCTAATATGGTATATTTTATAGTTATTAATTGTATCATCCATATTTTGTAATTGTTTTGAGGGCCACAGAGTCATCAGTGTCTTTGGGCTACTGTTAAGTGTTTTTACCCTCTCTAAATAAAGCCTATTGTTATTATTATTTTTGGATTAAGGTGTGGCGCGCAATAACTTTTCTGCGGACTGTAAAAATTTTCTTTCATATTATTCTATGTTGTTGGAGTTCACTAGAAATATCTCGGCAATACTGTGAATACTGATTTTGTACATAGACTGCATGGGATAAATTTGACATAGATTACCGAGATAAGGCGTTTAGACTGCTATTGTTTGTTTGGCATCGTTGAGCATTTTTTTCCATTATTTTATGCTGGAATAAAAAGAGAATTATGAACCAAAATGGGACAAACTTATGGTTTCTTTACCAATGTTTCCTCCTCTTTTACAAACATTTTTGCAAAAGAGTGGTTTGAGTAATATTTTGATGCGTGGGTAACGGTTGAGTACCTCTGTTCCTAATGGAAAAACCATCAAGCGAAACGTCACGAATAGCTCAACTTAAGTCTAAAGGTTGGCATTAATTGGTTTTTCGTCGCGCACCAAAACAATTATGGTGCTCTATCCCACGTGCGCTACTGAACTAGCGCGCGTCTTTAGCGCGCGCCAAAGACGCGCTTGTTTTCGCGTGCGTGGAAACGCGTTTACTTTCGCACGCGCGGATTCCCTCCGCGAGAAGAATGTGCTTGTTACTGCTAGTGAGGAGTGTTTTGGCGCGTAATATGAGTGTTTGTTTGTGCTTGTGCGAAATTAAATATGCGCGTAGCTGTATGCCCTTATGTGTGAAATCAGCGATTCTGCCAAGTTTCGCTGAACTGAAAGAAAATACAATTTGTACATACGAATAAAAAAAGCTACTTACCTATGGTTATCCAAATTGTACATTTTATGTAGGTGTGTGTTTGAAACAGTGTCATCAAAAACGTGTTTATAAATATACTGAGTGATGGAAGAAGAGGAACACATGGAACCATAAACGAAAAAGTAGCACTGTTCCGGGGCTGAAATAGAAGAACTATAAGACAGGCTATTGTGATGGACGAGTAAAGCGCCACGGGGAAGATCGTGAAGGCATCAATATTCTCTGAGTTAGTCATCCAAGTTCTGAGATATACGCAAACGGCAAACATGGATAGAATCATGACGAATACCGTGACATTCGCTATGGTGTTAGAGCACTCGCTTGGACTAGCGTGACAGGTTGTCGTGACACTGTCACTCTCGGACAGCGGAAGTTTCTTGTAGTTGTCATTCTTTCCTCTCCTTCTCTTCTTCAGTAACGTTCGAAGCCAAGATTGCGTTCGTTCCAATAACTGCTCTTCATAGCATACCCATTGGGGATTTTTTTGGTAGCGAGTAAGTATCACTGATATAGACACCATGGTGTAAGTTATAAGGGTCATAATGGCCATCATCTCCACTAACTGTTGCATGTTAAACAGAAACGCAAGCAGCGCGCTCAGAACTCCACTGACAGCCACAGCTCGCAATGGAACCTGTCTGTCCTTGTTTATTTTAGTGAAGCAACCAAAAATGAGACCGTCATACGCAACAGCGTAAATCAGACGCGGTGTCGCGAAACACGCTGCCAGCAAACTACTCAGCATCGCGCATAAGGCGCCAACGGAAACGATGTACGTTGATGCAGCAAATCCACGTTTGGCGAAGGCGGCGGCGACGGGTGCAAGGTCCTTTAACTGATAATAAGGAACCATCATGGTCAGAACTACGATGACTCCGATGTAAACAAACAGGCTTATTCCCAAAGACAGAAGAATAGCCAGTGGTACAGACACCTTGGGGTTGACAGCTTCCTCGCTCGCACTTGGTATAGTATCGAAGCCTATGAAGCAATAGAAGCAGCTAGAGGCAGCTTTAAATATACCTGTCCAGCCGTACGGCGCAAACTTCTCCAAAGTGGACCAGTTGTAAGCATTGGCATGGTAGGCCCCGGCAAAGATAACGAAAGTTGCTATGAGCAGGTTGGCAAAGACTGTCACGTCCAGTATGGTTTTGGACTCTTTCACCCCCAGGCAGATTATCATTGTCGCTAAAAAAACCAACGTAAAGGCTAAAAGATCGGGAAGCTCTGAAAGCGCCGGCGCTTGCCAAAGGCCGAATGAATCCTCGAAGAATTTGTACACAGAACCATTGGAGAGAAAATTAATGTACTCGCTACAGGCCGATGCCAGGGACGCGGCGGACAGAACATACTCGGTAATCATACACCAGCCGGTCACGAAGGCCCAGATCTCTCCCATGCCAACGTACGTGTAGATGTAGCCAGAACCGGAGCGGCTTACTCTGGACGAAAACTCCGCATAATTCATACCGGCCAGGAGGGAAGCTACAGCCGCAATTAGGAAGGACACGATGACGGCTGGACCCGCAACCGAGTGCGCAAGCTGACCGATTACAACATATAGCCCTGCGTCTATCAAGCCACCGATACCGAGAGCTGTCAGATCAAACACGTTCATACAACGCTTAAAGGGTGTGTCACTCTGAGCAAAATCATCAGTTTTCCTTCTGGTCAAGCTTTCAATGAATTTATAACCATACATCGCGACCGCGTTGTGGATGGAATTCTTGTAAATAAAAATTTCAATGCGATGCGAAGGCGCGCACCCCAAGCGTATACAGTCCAGCAATCTTGTTTTTTTCTAGTTGTACGCCGCTCATTTGAATATTGACTTTGGACGCGCTCGACCATAAACAGTCGGCATTCAAGCATGAAATAATATTATTTTTTGTCGAGTGCGGAGGCGTTCAGGATTGTTCTGGTAACATGGTAAACGCTCGTTCGTAGTCGCACACATTTTTCTGCCATGTTGCCGTGTCTATCTGAAAAATCTTATTAGGCTTTGATGGGTCTGAATTGTTTTGCGGATTGAAAAATTATTTCGCGTCGTGACAATTGGAATCTTCTAGTTCTAAGAATAGTGATGAGACAACGAAAATCTAATTATAAACTGAACCATCCACTTTTACGAGTATTCCAAGTAGAAGTTTTGGATTTTTTTGTTTTCCCTTTCCCCTGATTCGGTTTTTACAAGAAACTTGTTTAGTTATTTCTTACGATGTCTTTACGAGTTGAAAGATGTCTTCTTAATGCAGTATGTGAAGCGTAAAAAACAGGGTTACTCTATTATTCCAAAAGAATTACACAAGCTTCTTTTTTATTCCTTTGCGGCCATTTAAATCCCTTTTTGTTTTTCATTCATACGCAAATTAAACCTTTTTCTGAGCTTATCTTAGTAGTTTTTTTTTTTTTACCATTCATCGAAGCGGAAACGATATTAGTGGTTTAAAGTTTGTTTACGCTTGTTTCAAATCATTGCTTTTTACTGAAAAAAGGCGTTTTTGTTCTGAAAGCTGAGGACTTTGGACAGAAGCGCTGAAGCGTTGTTCTTGGCGCCAACGCGCCTTAAATAATAAACAACCAAAACATATTTTACCTTTCCGTTAAAACAGCTCTATAAACCAAAAACTGTTGTCTGACGAATAAGTTTTCTTGTGCTCGATAGTTCTGGAACAAGCCCAAACTTCCACGTAACATGTATTGATATTGAGCAGTCTGATCCTGGAGCGTCTTTCAAACCAAGCCACTCTCATTAAATTTTTTTGAAAGTTCCAAACCATATAAAGGGTGAAACACACAGAATATTGTTTATGCCTTTATTTTTTACACCTCGTAATACAAGAGATTGCAGATATTAGTTGTGAGGCTACGAAATTCCAAAGTTATTCGAATGGAACTTTAGGATTGTGGGCGGCAAAGAATTTGACCGACGCCGTCTTACTTCAGTAATTTTAATTTTTTATGGCATCATAGAAACAAAACACCATTCATTTAGAGGAATTCAAAGCATTAATCAATTCTGTAGTCAATATCATTTGTTTACCTCTTGTCGTTCATCAAGCTAACTTTTCGTAAGGTTTTCTTTCAAAACCTTGCTTGGAATCTTAGAGTTCAATGTTGGGCTTCTTTCATCTATTGTAAAATTATTACAAGTTATTGATTTTACTGGGTAACCATACATTACGTAAGAGTTAGTTAGACCCTCTTGGGTTTCTGTTGATATAGTATTTAGGGGGGGTGGGAGAGGGCTTACCTTAGTCTCTCAAAGCGAGGCTCAAGCGACATAGAGTCAGCATTTATTGGGATACTTGAGGAACATTCTTACACAGACATTTTCGACAAAGTAGAAAGAGTGCTAGAAGGTTAGCTAATAAGAGTGACCAGCATCTAATTTCTCCTTACAGTAATACTACTAAATGTTTCATTAAGATCGTGGGAATAAAGGAAATGATCGCCAACCTTAGAAACTTTAACTGTTAAATGAATTTTCCCTGTCAACACCTCACGAATTGTATGGAGAATGGTAGGGAGAATATTTATGCTGATGTTAAGGTGTGAAGGTTTAACTTGCAATATTTGATGAGTTATGTAACTTTTCTTGGCTAATCAGTTAAGAAAATTTGGTATCATATCACCATAATATTCTCTAGCAGTAGGCTGTTGGTAATTTTTCTGGGCTTGAAAATGAATGATACTTGTACGGAAGGTTGAAAGAATGACCATCTTACACTTGGATTCATTCCAGATATTTGACGAAGCTGATCTGGATGATGACAGTCAACTTTCTTTTGCTGAATTTGAGCACGTGATATCAAAGGCACCAGACTTTGTTAAGTAAGTTTTTTTCTTTCTGCCTGCCTTTAGACGAAAAACACTTAAGGTTCCAAATATTATGCCATCTATTAAGTAACTTTTTTTTAAGGAACTTTGAAGGCTAGACGGAGTGTCATGTGAGGGGGTATTGAGCCTCCAATTTTTTCATCACCCGTGCTCTACAGCCTTTCGTTTAAACTCCGCTAAGGAGGAACTCGAACTGACTGGCCACACCGTTCACTTTGGAGGCTTATATCCCTCTTTTCACGAGATTTCCTAGTTCAGTTCGTTGATGTCTTTTAGGGGTTGACCTATCTATTTAGGTAGTTTTGCCTTATAATTTGGACTTAACTAAGTGAATGGACGGGTCTGGCCGGTTAGTTCTGATTAATGGTAAGCACCCTAAGTTACGGTACCAGCTTCCTGTAAGTAAACGTGTTTTATCTCTCTTGCGCAAATTCCTGGTGGTACCGAACACTTTTCCTGGTGCCTCCTTTTAGTTGGTCTCACTACTGGAGTTCTGTTCACCAAACACGAGGCCACCGTGTTTATTTTTGTAGTTTTGACTCTTGGTAGAAGAGGGTCTTTCTTTTTAACTTACACTTTTTTTGTCTTGTAGCTCTTTCAGGATCCGTGTGTAAAGACCATCAGTCCAACACAGCTCTAATGCATTTCTCGTCCATGGACTGTCGTTAATTTCAATATTTGTAAACTGGTAAACTGGTAGTTGTGGGGCGTTGCTTTGTTACAGACAAAGATTATTTCAATGCATTAGGGGAGATTAATAGAGCTTAAATCAGGTGTGAATTTTTTAAGGCGGGTCCTTAGCTTGAATACATGCAAAAGTGTTTTGTAAATGAGAGTAAGTGAGTAATCATCCTGAGGAGCTAAACATCTATTTTTGCCGTTACTCGCACACCCTCATTCGTTTGTATTTGTACAGTGTATACTACCTTTGCATGACACTTTCTTAATGCTAGTTAACGTGTCGTTCTTCTGAGAAACTCATAGTGATTAGAGATTTGGGGTTTACAAGACTGCTATGAAAAAAAATTTTGGATAATGATCGCGATCCAGATAGAACATTCTCCGCTTTGATGTACGTGAGTAAATACTCGACTTTAGGCAGACGGCACTACTTTCTGATCTGTGCTATCGGTGTTTGCCGGGTCTCTGGCCATTTCTGTGTATGACTGAATCGGGAAATTCCATGTGTGCTTTTTGATTACGTGAACATGTTGACTAGAAATGAAGATTTTAAAGAGGGGGGGAGGGGTTCTTTCATACATCGAGAGGCTGCAACATTCGATATTTCTATATTAGCTTTGTAAAATAAAGGCACATTTGCACTAACTGAACTTTGTATGCCGGCTTTGAAATTCTGTAATCTCTGAGAAATATCATCATAAAAAATTCTCTACGATTGGGTCAGCTGTGTCTTTAACTGTAGCTTTCGCTATGTCGTGAAACTTACTTGTATCACTCAAACTTTTTTGCTTCTGTGAGCATCATAATTTTTAATTTTTGTACAATGACGGGTGAATTAGTTTAGGATACGTAAGCTTGTTGCTTATCCAGAGCGTTTAGATGTTACGTAAGGGACGTGTTTGGTAGTGAGCTTGGGTGCTCTTCTTTATTTATCACAAATAAACTAATTTTGATAAACTGGGCATTTGCAGCCAGAATCATTTTTTTAAACGCAACTAATTTCGTATCAAATAGCCTTTTTCCTATTTGATGGTAGTGTGCGACTCGTGCTTAGAACTCCATGATTGTCGTGTGCATCCATCTCGAAGTGGCGTTTTGGGGTCGCAGTGACCGCCTCTACCAGTGGCTTCAGTTATGTAATGTAGAGGTTTCGGGTAGGGATGTTTTTGTCGTCATTTTTAAAAGGTGGCTGATTCAAATCAGTTCTATGGCTGACTGAATATTTACATCAAATTCTCCAAGACTATAGGTAGAAGCCTTCATAGAGCTCTGAGTTGGAATAAGATGAAATCAGCATTTGTTAACAAAAACTAACCTACCAGACTGATTGAGTGCAAACATACCCAAGGCAATCTAATAATATTTAATATCTAGTTAATATTTAATTGAGATCTCATTGGCTTTTATTAATATTTACCACAACTTTTCTGAACGGTCGCGATGATTACTTTATATTTGACAGCACAATCCTCTATCAAAAACATCTTTACCTGTTGAAACCTGAGCCGGGTTGTTCAAAGCTGGGGTTAAGAGTACACATGGTCAGTGTGAAATCTGATTTCAGATCTGGAAGCTATAAAACAGAATTCACTACAATTTATTTCATCTCAGAATTTGATGACTAGATTACCTAAACAGTAAAGAACAAATTATTCCGAAAAGCTAATGAACAAGGCTGGTGATAATAACAGAAGAACAGGATTGATATTTAAGCCTAGGACAACTGAGCCGTGGACTTAAAAAGCTTTTACGTAAGTTATACTTCAAGGCCGCTTCAAATACTTCTCTTTTAATCATCCGAGTGCCCTCTCTTGTTGAAACTGTAGAGAAGGCGTAATCTTTTTAGCGAGCGGAGGCGAATGCGTTTTTCACTCCTTGCGCTTACTTGTCTTCTTTTGCCTGAAAAACGCAAAAATTATATCTGTTGTGCAGAATGTAGTTGAATAGGTTTAAACTTTATGCGTTATCGTCTTCTTGTGTGGTTTCGATTGCTCTTAGCTAACATGACGGTTTGTTAACTTCACATTCCGCACTTATCATTCTGGTTTAGTTCCCCTGATTTTTTCAGGGAAGGTACGTTTTTTCTTGGGGCGCGGGGGGGGGAGGGTTGAGGCCTCAGAGGGTCATCAGTGAAAGTGAGCACCAAAAGGGGAGGGTCATACCTCTTTGTAAGCTATTCAAGGTCATACACCTTTTCCAGAATTTTTTAATGCGGATTTTTGTGATGTTGCTTTCCATTTTCCTTACGGATAAAGGTTTTCTTTTCACCTACTTTGATTTAATTTGGTGTTTTATTATAGGTCAGTCTAGGTTACATTTCTACATGTACATTATGCCATGGCACATATAGTTTTCTCGGAGGACTCGTGTCCTTTTTCGTACAAGACGTACTAAACTCAGATATCGTTTCTTCAGCTTCTTGATCCTGTTGACTATCCGCTGTCTGATCTCCTGAGTCATTTAGTTCTGAAGTTACTATTACTACTAAATCCAGCAATGCGCTCTACCCTGTCACTGTCACTGTCAGACTCTGAATTTGAGTCAGAGGCTGGCTGAATGTTGTTCTGACTGTCTTGCACAACAGAAGTCAAAATCTTACTGCGAATATGTGCCTTCACCACCCTCACTTTCTCATCTTTCTTTCCTTTAAATGCAACATTGTGGTGATTAATATACAGTTCAAGTTTACATACTCTAAGGGATGACAACTGGTTTCTGTGATAGAGATCTTCCCAGTCAATGTCATTGTATTCCTGCTGCTTTCTTTCTGCACGCTTCCTGTCATTATCTGTTCACCGCTTATCTTTTCTCATTTCAATGTCAGTTTGATGCTCAATGTAATCTGCAACAAGCTTTACTTAAAAACAATGTATTTTTCAGAAAACTCTTTGATTGCCTTTTCATCCTCTGCTTTAAGCTTACCCCCTTGAAAAATCTGGTCTATTTGAGCTCGAGGCTCAGGTTTGCGGCCACTCGTAGGTGTTTTCGTACTTGGTATATAGTGAAATTCGGGAAGTTTGCTGTAATCGGGATAGGGTCGTGGTGTTGGTGTGGCTGGAGAAGGACTTACAAAGTCTCAAAGTTTATACTTCCATATTCAAACTTCAGCTATAAAACGTAAATATATTACACTGATTGTTTGCATTTTCTTGTTTCAGCTCGCTCACATTCAATATCGAGATGTATTTATATTCAAACATTTTGCGTTCACAAGCGAAATGTTCTGAGGTTTTTGTACGGCATGGAACGTACCATATAGTAGTGAGGGTAGGGTCGCACTTTTGTCAGTCACCTAAAGGTGGGGGGGGTCAGGAGTTTTTTATTTAAACGCGAAGGGAGGGCCAACACTTGTTTCTGGAAAAAGCCCCCTAATCGTGGGCAATCTTCCGGCAAGTTACTCTTGTTGAAAGATAATCCAGTGATTGATTTCCTCCCTTTTTCAACACTTCAACCCTTAGAGTGACCGACCTCTTACAATTTCACCTCACATAATTACCCTCGAATCAAACATTAAGGCCATGAGAATAAAGGAAACGATCACCAATTTAGGAAGCTCCTGATTATCAAACAAATTCTCCTTGTCAGTATCATAGTAAATATATAAAGAAGAGTATGGAGAATATGCATGCTGATATTAGGGTGTAAAGGGTTCAACTTTTTATACACTTTTTACATCACTGACTACATCGCACCAGTTGCAATGCCATTTGTGAAGCTGCGTTTAAACACCAACTGCAGTACTGTTCCCTTGTGAAGCTTTCCAAGGGAAAACGTTTTACTTTATACTTTGACAAAGAGAAATTGCCGATCACAGTTTTTCAGGAAAACTTGTCGAATAAGCACATCCCATAATCCCTTGGTGCAAAGGGATACACTAAAATACAGAAACCGGAGCGTAAGTTTACATTGTACTTTTTTTTAAAGTTTCTGTTCAGTGTATTTAAAAAAATTTCCTAGCCAGTTATTAAGAGGGTTTTCGTTTAGTGAGAACTGCCTTTAAAACGTAAAAGAAAAAAAAACTTTAAAAATTGGCGAACCTTATAATGTCATGTAGGTATAGATGTCGGTGAGTTGTACCTCAATGTGAAGCCGCAAGTGCATTACTTATGGTCATATTAGTCTTCCAAACATTTGCTCGCGCGCTCAACCTTACTTTAGTAGATCAGAGATATCTCGACTTGACTTCAATCAACAGCCATTGATGTTTTCTTTGGTTAATAATTATCAGAAATCCGTTTAATATTCACAAAGTTATGAAATTTAGCGCCAAATGGTCTTCGCAGGGTGTCAAAGGGTAAAACCTCGGACAATAGTCTTGACATGCGTCTTGTCAAGTCAAGCAGCAAAATTAATCTTCAAAGATCTCTCTTGACAATCCTCCAAGTTCAAGAACTGACATGTTGGTATTTGGAAAAAATATCGTCAAATTAAACTTTCTTGTGTAAACGCTAGTACTAACAGTAACAGATACTGATAAGCACGACACCAACTGGAGAGAAATGAATTAAAAAATAAATCGAGACATTTAATCAATCACGTCTAATGTGGTGTATCTACAACTTTAATCGAATATTTAAGGGTGATCCGCTGGGCTTGCGGGCGCGAATCTTGTCCCAGATGGTTTTAATTACATTTCACGTGTCACTAGTCGGGGGCACGATTTGAATTGCAAATTGCGTAATTTGTTGCTAGCAACGCAGGAGCGTGCTGGTGGCTGAAAACGAAAAATTCATCAACTTTTTTCCCGATCGTTGCTCGGTATTTCACTGGATTGGGAAGAAGAAAAATTGAGTTTAAGTGCGGTGCGAAATGGAGAAACTGACTTTACTAACGACCAACATGGAGATATATCGACATCCTAGACATGTTCCAGGGTAAGTTTTTAAGAGACAGCACGCGTGGTACAAGAGATAATATTAATGGAACTATCTCGATCTAGCAAAACATTGGGAATGATGTAAAACTGTGGTCGATCTTATGCGAGAGGAAGTCGTACGTGAGCGAGAGTAATTTTGAAGCATTGTTACTCTCCGAGTGTTAATTTTCACCAGGATGGTGTTATTCCTTGGGTAATGTTTTACTGGTTCAATATAATTTCAGTTCCAGAAGTTTGCAAATTCATCAAAACAAAATAAGGTAGTTGAGTGTAAAAATTTGTACATTGATTGTGAAACGAAGGGTTTCGCTGAAGTCTTTGAGTTCTTGATGGGCGAGATTTTCTACTTAATTGTCTGAGATAAAAGAAATAATTTTGTTTTCAAGGACGGTATTCAATATCCGGTTTGCCACCATGTGGCTGAAAAATTCATTTACCCCGCGCTACATGTAGGAAAACGATCAATTTTTAGCAAAGAGAATTTATTGGAAACCCTAATAACAACTTTCAACAATAAGCTTCCAAGTTGTTACGAGAGAGGTCAGGAAGGATTTTACTGCATGGGACATCCCAGCCGAATTTCTAGAGCTGTGAAAATTCGTGATGGACTTCTAAGATTACAACCTTATGCAGATACTTGCAGATTGTCGATTGTATACTCATAATTGTCACCGGTTCAAATAAAGTTTTGCACCTCGAAAAGCTCAGGGATTGATCAGTGTTTTCAAAAAATTATGGGTGATAAACGCTCATGACATGCTGAAGTTCTCGTTTCCTATCTGGAGTGAAATCGGCTTTTCCAGATTTCGAGTCGGAAGTAATTAGGTATTGCATCGTTATTTTACCATTGCTGTAAACTCGCACCACAGTTTAAAAAAAGATACCTAACCATGATGATATTTAGTAGTTTTAAAAAAGGACTAGATCAGAAAAAAAAACAAAAATAAAAAAAAAATCGGGAGTTCGTAGTAAGCAATTTCCTGCTCTTCGGGCAGTTTGCGGACCTTTGATTTCGTTTGAATTGAATTCCCTTGGCGCTTTGTGACGGTTTCGTTTGTTATAATTAACTAGCTGTTTAGTATCCTTTTGGTTTTATTAGTCCCCAATGTCTGAACTAATCCTTACCCTACCTCTCTAGTTACCTTGGATATACGCCACAGATCAAGTTCACGTACGGTGAAACTTTTGGCAACACAACTGGCCGCTGGTTCCAGGACTACCGAGCTGCTACTTTGAACACAAGTAAAGAACGGATGGGGAGGGGAGGGGACAAATTTCTCCCCTTCCCTACTTACTATACCAACAACCCTGATCATGTTTTGGGCGCTCGCACCAGATCACGTGACCGATGGCAAGCAGCGCCTAAATACAAACTTTTTAATGTAGATGACAGGGATGTGGCTATCAAAAAGTATGATAAGGTGTGTTTTGTAAATTAAGTCAGTTTTGTTAAAATCGTGCTTGGAGCTGTAGGGAATAAAGACTTCTTTCCAGCTAACACCCCTTCTTACCAACTAAAGCCGACCCCAGCGGAGCGGTGGGGGGGAAGGGGGCTGTTCGCGGTGTGAATAGAAAGCGCCATGTGGCACGCGTTTATAGCTAAAAAACCACGTAGCTCATGAGTATCTGCACGCGCTCCAACATTTTTTGCTCCATATCTTTCTTTCTCATCGGCACGCCTCAAAGGAAGGCTGCTCATAGTCGAAATTTTCTTCTCCACATGAGGGTAATCAGATCAAAAATGGTTCTAACTCTTTTTCGATAGCAACACCAACACGTTCTTTCCATCAGAAGTCAATGGAAACAATTATACTAGTGTATAATTTGAAAATCAGCTAAAGGAAACTTACGTGTTTTTCTTGTACAGGCTGCCCAACATCATCGGGAACATTACAAAGACAGAACAGAAACAGTTCCACCTGTGAGACTTTTTATCTTGCCAAATGTGTTTCATGATACCAAGTCTCGCAGAATACCTGCGTAAGTATATGGATGGGACTTTTCTGTCTCGTTTTCATTTAAAATACCGTCTATTTTTATTTTAAGGCAGTTCTGACCCCCTCGTCACTTTGTCCTCATTGTCTGAGGGCCTTTGTAAGGCGGGATCAATGAGTCTGCCTTCTGAAATTCAACACATGAGAACAGAAACCAAACACAGACAAATGCTTTTACTGTAGCCAGGACTTGGAAACGGTGTTTTAGGTTGTACTGCACGTTGAAGTGGTAAGGCCTCTGTGTGCTCCTGCGTTCTTGTCATCAACTGATATGATAGGGAAGGGGGGTGGTATAATTTGTCAATACTGATCCGTCAAAATACAACTACTGTAAACAGCTGGGAATCAACTTCCTCGTGGGTGCATGAGGTGGTCAGTTGTCCATAACGGAGTGCTTTTCGATTGACTGTCGTAAAATTGTCATAAAACCAATCGCGACTGTGTCGTGATTGGTTTTAGTTTAGAGAGGGTGGCACGAGTTTTCTGGTCCAATCACTGAGCAAAGTAAAACAAAGCCGATGCAGTCCTGGAGTACTTTCGACATTTAAATGGAAATTGCTCTTTTATCTTTTGATTCTCGCTCTTTCGTTTCTTAACAGAGCGGGAAGAACTAAAAATGAAGAAAGAGCATTAGCATACGCTAACCAAGTCTACAGGACAACGAGGAATAAACCGCTGGCCAAGTCTAACGTGGAGGAACGCCGAATACGTGACGTGTTTTTCGAGCAGAGATAGCTTGGATTAATTAATTGTACATAGTTTGAAATAAGAAAATTTCTTGGTGTCTTTTTATTTATTTGAGTGAAAAGCGAAATGGATTTTGGAATAAATAAGAATAAAAGCAATAAGTGATCATGAGATGTTGGAAAAGGGGCAGGGAAACTGAAGCGTCTTCAAACGACTTATGGAGCTGCAATGCTATGCATTTGTTCAAGTTCTTTCCTCGTGGCTTCCTTGTTCATACGAATATTTGCCGTTTAAAATTTTTGGTATTCAATTTTTATGGTTTGTTGAACTCTGAATCATATTAAAATTTTAGGTGACTTCATCGCATACTAGATACTGATATTGATCCCACTTACTGCAACACTTGTTCTCTATCTCCCGGCCCACTGTTCCTTCTCATCTCACCCTCAATGGGTAACCACCATGCAAAACTAGCCAGTGACGATCTTAAATGTTTCTGTGTCAGGTTACTAGTCAGTGGAGACGTGCTAAAAAGCGCGAAAAGCGAAATGTGGAGGGAATAACGCGAGGACAGCTGCCTCGCTCTTCTCCATTGAGCGAGGGCCTGGAACAGGCTAGTTGCTGGAAAGATCCGTGAAAGGGCCTGAAAGGGAAAGCACTGAAACTAGTAGGAAGGTCACCAGCATTAGCCCTGCCTTGCGCCTTAATGAGTAAGGAGAACGTAACTCTTTGCCCGTCTTCATTTATTGAGGTTAAATCATCAACAAACGGTGAAAAATAGACTTAAGATCTAGCTACAATCAGGACAATTTGGTTTTAACAACTGAATTGATAATTTAAATTGGCCACTGTAAAGAGTTTCTTAAGCTGATGTTTCGTCTAACGCTCGAAACGTCAGCTTTAGAAACTCTTTACGGCGGCCAATTTACATTATCAACTCATTTTCCTAAGCCAGATTGTCTTTTCATACCTTCACCGACACCGCACCACAGTTTCTCAGAAAATTTACCCCCTTTGTTGTACTTTAAAGCCAGACTGAAAAAGTAACTTTTTGGAGCCTGGGACTTAGTGCTAAGGCCAGGCTACCAAGTAATTATTCCGAAACAACCTCAACTGCGTCATGTAAGACTAAATTTGTTCGCCTTGTAGTGACATTTTTAAATATGTTTGCAGGTATTTCTGGAAATCAGCCCTCTCCTCAAGGTTTGTATATCTTTTTCGCAATTACTATTGTAAACTCTGGTTTTTAAGAAGAGGAATTTACCTCAATGGAAGGGTGGAGAGCCGATAGGTCTGAGATTTTTGCTGAATTTATCAGTTATTTACGCTGATGCAGCTATTTGAAACGTGAATTAAGAATTTCACAGTTTGTTGTATTGATTATTTCTTGGTTGGTTGTTTCTTACAGCCATGAGGCCAGAGTTGTTTGAGGTATGACTACATTCGAATTCAGTTTTATTCACAGTAAATTAAAGTTCATCATATTAAGATTCAACTGCTTACAGCATACATGCATTATATCTTTTGGAAAAACTAAAGGTAATTTAAAAATAGAATATGCGTTTAATTCTATTTATGGTACACAATAGATCTAAAAAATATCTTGGTGATCGGAATTTGTATCGTGTTTCCTTCGTCAGGAAGTGAAGCTGTACAAGAATGCTCGTGAGAGGGAAACGTAAGTATTGCAACTGACAAATTTAATGATGTCATCACTGAGTTTAACGCTTTAGGTAAAATTTCCGCACAGCCCCATACTACATTATGCATTCAGTTCTTGGATAGAGAAAACAATCACAAAAACAATAGATTGCCATTGGGAAAACAGATTTGTTTTACAATAGTATGGGGCTGTGCGGAAATTTTACCACGCTTTACCCCAGTATGGAGGTGACTTATTCTTGAAGGATGAACAGGTTGCTTCTAAAAGGGGCATTAGCCCAATGGTCAGGTGCAAAAATTTAGATTGGAGGATCTGAGTTCAAGTCCTAGCATGAAATAAATTAATGATTTTTATGGCTTTTTCTGGGCTCTCACGGTGTTTCTCCTCTGGAAGTGAAATCAGGGAAACCAAATGAAATTAGAGGGGGAGGGGGTATATGGACCAGTGTACAATGCATTTACCTCCCATTTAGAGGTAATACTTGGTAATAACCTTACCTCTTCCATGGAAAGTTAGGAATCAAAGTTTTGTTTAGTTAATTGGCTCACAAAGCCCATGAGTTGTAACCTGACACATTACAAGTAAAGCAGCTATCTATATGCCTGCCAACAGTAGCATAACACAAAAATCAACAGCATTGTTTAATCTTAAATCTTCACAGGGCCAGTCTGTAGAGTATGGAAGAACTTGTAAGATCTTGCATGTGCAATACAGTGATTATGTGATGTAAAATGAATGTTTAAGAAATACCTTGTGGGTGTACCTTCTGTACGCTGTAGACTGGTTACTTGGTCACCTTTCCCCAACCTCTACCAGACACCCTCAATTAGTAGGCATTGTCTCATGTTCGAAAGATCATGAAACCTCATGATTCTCAACTGGTACTGTAGTAGGATGTATCTCTCCTATTAACCCTGATGGTGTTAGCCCAATGACGTTTGACACATAGTTTGTTTAGTTCCTTACATTCACTCTATCTTTTCAGATATGACAACATGGCAGATCTATTTTCTATCATCAACACTTTACAATGTTTGGAGAAAGCTTACATCAGAGATGTAGTGACACCAAGAGAGTGAGTGTGGATAGTGATTCCTGATAAAACTTTCCTCTTGTCTAACTTAAAGTTCTTAAAATTTAATTTCAAACCACTCAGATAAATGCTAATATTTTCATTCTGATGTAAACCTTTTTAATGTCAGCTAAAATTGCTTAGCCATGCAGATTTCATAATATTTTCAGGTTAACAATGTGATTTTTTAAGCCCTGATAATTTTCCTCTTTCTTCATAGTTGATTCAATACATCTTTCTCCCCCTTTTTTACTAATCTTATCCTGTTTACACAGTGTACTCCACAGAAACATGAAAAAGAGTCAAATTAAATTAGTTAATTTGAGTCTTTCTTCAGGTTAACTAACAATTGTTTGCCAAAGGCAAAGAGATTTTGTTGAGTAATTCCCAAGAAAAAATGAGGGGCCTACTCAACAATGCTCACTGGGTCTGAGGCGAATGACTGTTCCAGTATTATTGCTTGGGTGTTTTCAAATTTTTTGTTAATTCAATCTGTAAATGAAGAAAGCATTGTGCATTTATTTTCTACAATTGCGTTGATTACTTGTATCAAGATAAACGTGTAAGTTTAATTAACAGGTAAATTTTATTCAATCACCAAAACTTCATATCTTTCTTTTAAAAAGTGTTCTGCCAATCTTTTAGCATCTTTTGGAACCTTTCAAATTTGAATTTTCTCCTTTAGAAACATTGACAAAAGGCAGCCATTTTGAAATTTAGTGCTCCTGCTATAATCACCTCTTGCTTGGGGATTATGGTGAGATATGATGTGATCTGTGACCAATCAGAGCGTGCACATCTCTATAAACACTTGAGCATCTATACTAATTATAATTATTATTGAATACAGCTTTTGCTCTCAGCCCACACAATTAATGTGAGTTAACTAACTGATTGCTATACTTAACAGCATTCACTGTATAAATTTTTCTTAGATACACTGCTGCATGTTCTAAATTACTGGTTCAATACAAGGTGAGGTATACACCTCTTGGTTTTTTATTATAACAATTAATACCACCATGATTGTGACCTTTTTTATTTACACTGCTAAATTGTCTCCTTGCTCTGTAGATGTAAATTTTGGCTAAAGAATCCTTTCCTATTAGTTTCTTTGTTTCAACATGGTATCTTAAATTTAAACTATGTGGAGATGTTTGTTTTTTGTCCTTAAAAGAAGTCTCCTGGAGTGGTGCTTGAAATACTTCCACCTTGTACTAATTTATTATAGTGTGAATTAATATTGTTAAGGTAGTTAACAGGAGGTGCTATTTTCAGGCTGCCTTCAAGCTTGTGCAGTCAGCTGATTATCCTACAGTAGAGGCTTTCATGAAAAAATTTAGGGTAAGATTTTTATGAACCTGCTCTTTTTTCTTTTGTTGGGTTTTCTTTTATTTTTTAAACACTAATGTGGCTCATTGACTGGAAGAGAGAGTAAAATCAATTAATTGCATAATTTTAGTGGAAATCACAAAGGATTAGTCATGGACTCTTTATGATTTGGCAGGTGTGCTTTTGCAACTCATTGTTAAAAAAATGTTATTATAATAATGTATTGATATTAAGACAGAGAGTTGTACCTGAAGAAACCAAGTTACTCCAGAACCCTCTGTTCTAATATCAATACTCACTGGTCTGATAATTACTGGGTTTAACTTGAAGTACAACTATCCATCCAGAAAGTCCCTCCATTTCATTAATTGAATTTACCATTCCTGTGACACATGAAATGCACTAGATTAACCCTTTAACTCCCAAGATCTGATTGTTAATCCTCCCTTCTAGCTGATACACATTCCCTTGTATATTGGTTGCGAGAATTAGGTTTTCAATCAAGGTATTATCTTGTACCTGATGAGTTTGAGTATTATCACTGCCTGTTTTCGAGATAATGTATGGGTATTACAGGGAGTTGTTACATGTTAATCACTTCTAGGAGGTAAGGGATTAAAGGAGAAAAAAGAGAAATGAAGAAAGAAAGATGTCCAAATGCTATGTTCATTGTGAAGAGTTTGGGCAGATGGAGTTAAAAGCATTTAAGTTACATCTATTTTATTTACTATTAATGTGATTCATGCAAGTGTGGTATTTTTTTGTTTAGCTGGATTGTCCTGCTGCTCTGGAGAGAATAAAAGAGGGCAGACCCATCACTATCAAGGATGATAAAGGAAATACCAGTAAAGCCATTGCAGACACAGTTTCAGTGAGTAAAAGATCTATTATTTAATCATGCAAGTGCACATTGTATCACGTAGCTATTGAATAAAGTAATGTTCATCACAGAAGTGAATATGGTTTTAAGTTGTGGCATTTCTTCAATTGGACTGGATACTCAGGTCTCAAGATGAAATTATATTCATTTTAGTGGATTTATAATTTTTTGTCTTTGGTTAAGTAAAGTAATCTTTTGAGGGCATGTTGATGGCATTGTTTTTGATATGGAGTTGAGTTGCACAATTTTTTTTTTGCCATTTCCAAATTCTCTGTCTCCACTGATGATCCACAACTGATATTTGAAATTAGGAGAATTTCAAGAGAGCATTTTTAGTAATACTACATAAGTTCATAAAATGGAAGGTGTAGGAGTTCAAGCATATTGGTTTTAGGCAAGAAATTATCCCCTCAGATCCCCTTTCACTTGTTCACATGTTCTCACAGTTACTGTTTCTTTGCTTTAATTTAAGCTCTTTATAACAATCATGGACAAGCTCAGATTACAGATCAGAGCCATGGATGAGGTAACATAGTACTAGTGATAGTGGCTTGATTATAGGTATCATTTCATCAAGCTTTCATGTAGGGTATAGTTTAGGACTTTCCTTAAAGGAAATGGTTACACTCAGGCATTCTGCATGGTATGGATGCTTTTGTGAAGTGCAAGTCACAAGTGCAAGATGGTTTTTCAAATTCAGAGCAGAAAAGTTTTCTTAGTCTCATTTTTTTTACAATGCCCAGAAAGTTTATCAGGGAGCCTCATTCAGGTAGCCTAAAGATGTTTGTCTTTGGATTGTGTCAATTTCTGATTCAGCCAATTCTAACATCTACTGTTAATTAGTTGTTCTCTTTACAACAATTCCTTACTGTGATTATAATGATTATTTACAACACAGATTCATCCAGATCTGAGAGACTTAATGGATACTATGAACAGCCTTAGTGCACTCCCTGAGGATTTTGAGGGAAAAGTCAAAGTGAATGGGTGGTAAGTTTTAATAAATGTAGTTTAGGAATAAGATTAATGATGAGAGCTGGATCATTATCCAGGAAATTAAAATTGTTATCCATCACCTGCCAGTCATTCACTGCAAGTGAAAAATAGCCTGAGGAGGATGGAGTGGAAATTGCTAGTACGACAATAATTTAAGGGTTGATGTGTGAAACAACTACTTACATCATAAATTATTAAAGAAGTCTGCTTGAACATCTGTCCACTGAATGTTGCTGACTTACAGGTTTTTCTCTCTGTAAATTAATCTTGCTTAGCTTAAAATGAGTTGCACTTTAAACAATGGACAGAGACAGTGCTTAGATTGTGGGAGAGTTATGGGATGAGGGTACTCTGGAGTAATAGCAAAATTTACCACACTAATGAATAAGGGGGTAAGTTTCTAAAGAAACTGTGGTGCTGCGTCAGTGGGAGAGTATAACAGGGTAATTAAGTATTATCAACTGAGTTGTTAATGTAAATTGGCCATCGTTAGAGTTTAAAAGTTGACATTTCAAGCATTAGCCCTTCATCAGAGTGATTGAACTCCCTTTTACCATACTATGCCATAGTATGGTAAAAAAGTGAGCAAATTCTGGGAGTGCATGGTATCCTGCACTCTACAGATTTAACTGATCATGTAAAGCTCAGGTTTAATGAGACTCTCATTGGTAGTGGCCCAAATTTGTAGAATATGGATGTAAGCCAGATATTACTGGTACCAATCCCCTACATTTGGGGCTTTTGTACTTTACCAACATTCTTACTTAAACCAGGGGTAACTCAAAGACAACTAGCAGATTCAAATTCAAGTGAATGATATATGGTCATAAAACACACAAACTGTTTACCACTGGGTAAGTTTCTGACTGCTTACTGATTACTGATTTGTTTTGCCTGTAAACTGCAGGTATGAAACACTGAGCAGTATGAAAGCAAGTGATGAACTTACTGATGAACAAGTGCGACAGATGTTGTTTGATTTAGAACAGGCATATAATGCATTCAACAGATCTCTGCAGCATACCTAGGTGGAGTGGAGTTAGTTATATTCACAGTGCTAAAAATCTGTTAAGATCTTATGACACATGTTAACATCTTTGCAATCACCGGATATATCTTTGTCTTGTTAACAGTCTTATCCCTAAACATGAATGGTAGTCTTCAAGATTTTTTCAGGAAATTCAAATTTAACTGTGATGTAGCACAATCTAGATGTGATCTTATACACTTCATTCAGGCCTCTATTAAACTGCAAAGAAAATCTCCTTGTAGTTTTGAGGAAATTAAATATGATATGTAAATAAACATGTTTGCAATCTTTTTTCTGTGTAGTGCATAACATAGAACTTATATCTAAATCTAAACAAGGAAAGAGTAAATAACTTTGTCATTCAAGTGGTACTCAAAACAAAGTGGAAGTAGCTCAATGATCAGCATGCTGAACTCCCATGTCAAGAGGTCTGGGGGTAGAGCCTTGACTTGGCGTCCATGCTTTAATCCTGGACAAGACACTTCACTCTCTTCCCCCAGGGGTATACATGTAAATGAATATCAGCAATATGACAGAGAAACTCGAGGAAATGCTGAGGGATACTCTGCAATAGTTAAGCATCCCACCCAGAGGGTGTAGTAGTACTTCCAGCTATATACTTTATGAAAGGAAAACCAAGAAGAGCTGTATTGAACAGATTTATTTTCAACTATTTGATTTCTCAACTGCTTACAAAATACAGCAATCAACGATTGCAGTATTTTGTAATACTTTTGTAATAAATTTTGCAATTGAAATCTGCAATCGTTGATTGCTGATTGTCATAACATTAATGTGTTTAGAAATTGAGTCACTGGTCTGGACTCTCGGTCATTGGAAAAAAAAAATCCACGGATGTCACGTGGTTAATTAATTGTTATTCAGAAATCTGTTGCTCTAGTCACTATTCCTTCAAAGAGGTGTTGTCATTGCTTTCTTAAATGTGAGTAAATGTGGAGGACAGTGCAAGCCAAGTGATAGTTATGACATCAGATCCATCGGCCATGCTTGATCTTAACAGGGAGATAAGTCTCTGAAAGAAAATTGAAGGAGATGGAGGAAAGAGCTTGAATCTCTGCCTTGAATCCCAGCGATAACATGGTCTTAATCTGAAAAAAATAATAATCCAGTATTTGAAGGAGAAAACACAAAGCTAGAAAACGTTTCGCCAACTTTATTCAAAGGCCTTTGAACTCTGATTTGAACCATCATTGATATTATATAAACACGTTCAAAATGGCGTTATTGCGCGATTTAAAGCTTGCCAAAATGTTTGAATGTCTGAGGACGGTATTCAGCATTAAGCGGTGATAAAACAGTCACATGAGGTCGTTTGTTTGTTTGTTGTTTTTTTTGTGTGTGTGTGTGAAGAGAGAGAACGTTAAGTTACGAACGATTCTGGGTTACAACGATCCGGTCTTATTCACGACGCGGTCGATTTGTTACGCCTGTGAAAGGGCGTTTCGTCACATACCTCTTGTTTCCAGACTTCTTGGGACTGAATGTGGGGTCGGTCAAGCAGTTCACGTGCTTTGCATTTGTCTCGTTCGGTCAGCGGTATTAGTTGATCATGCGGAATAGACAACCTGGAATACGATGGTAAAATGTTCATTATGCGGCGACCGAACTCTAACGTGAAGATAACGTTCGAGCTTAATGAACCTGTGCACGCGTTTTCCTTAATTTTGTCCAATGTGGCTACGTGGAATAACTCCACCTTTGCCCTCGACGTTCTCGGCGCGCTCAAAACTAGACCCTTTCGTGAATAGTGAAGTCACCGAAAGACTCCCATATCTCGCTCAGACATTGCTCGGAAGGTAAACGCCACGAAACTAAGCTATTTTAGGACAGCAATCTGACCCATCAACAGAAATTGCGCCTGGCAGGTGCGCCGTACTTCCTACGATAAATGTCGCTCTGAATTTGTCTGCGTCATGGACCAAGTTCAACCAACATAATACAAATTATTACCCAGCATAAATCGTTCTTTCAAACAATGATACCTGGTGATGTCACTTGGCAACACGCCGAGCCACTTTAAAACAGGAACGGTTAAGCTGTGTGCATCAAACGAGAGGGCCTGTAAAATTCAGCGGCCACTGATTGGTTAGTGAAAGAGATTTACTCACAATTAATCACAAATTGTCAATGGTTTGACTAAACTAGGCGTACCTTTGAACCAAACTTGTACACGCTGAGGATCTCAATACCTGCAAATTAAAATAGAGTAAACTCTTGAAGGTTTTTTTAGGGAAACAAATCATAATTTCTGCATGGTATCGCACAGGCGACGTACTTCGTAGCATTTGCTGCAGCCTGACAAAAAAAAGAGGGTAAGTTTCTAAAGAAACTGTGGTGCTACGTCGATTGGGGAGTATAACAAGATAATTAGATAATTAAGCCTTATAAAACCGTGATTACTTTGCCGTAGCTTGTTCGTTGAGGCAATAGTAAGACAAAGTTGACTGTGCTTAACCCGTTATGCTGGATTTACGCTTTGAAGTTGCTCCATAAAATTGGCCGAATTCAGAATTTAGATCGAGTATTCTTCGGGTCAACTGTAGACTCGTGCTCCTTATTCACTCAACAAAGATGTACAAAAATCCGGTTAAGGAAAGTTTTGCTAACGTTACGTCGCCTCACCCTTCATCAATGAGGCGTATGCTGCTCTAGGAGAACACAAGAGAGAGAGGGAAGAGGAAAGAGGATTTTCACTCACCATGAGGGTCTGCATCCACAAGAGCTAAGATAGGTATCTGGAGAGTGCACCACAATCGACGGACCATCATACGGGTATTCACATCTGGGAAACCTTTGCCCTAAAATTGCAAATCACATAGCATGCTTACAAAAATAATTCAACACAAGTAAAAATTAGCAAATTAAACAGTATCATCACTTAAATTGTAATGTGAATTAAAATCTAGGAATTCAAGAACAAGGAAAACGACGTAACAGTCTAAGCTCAGAATAAAAGTGCAGTTTTTAAATGTCGAGGAAATCACAGATGATCACAGTCCAGAGCTTTCAGTTTTAATGGGCTATTGACCGATATGAAAACGTAAAGGTAGTATAATGGCCGAATAGAGAAATTGGTAATTTAGTGTTTTTTGGTTTTGCCTTTCTTCGCACTGTGATCGGCCGGCTTAGAAAACGTGGGCCTCTTTCTCAACCAATCCGATGCAAAACTAAAACCAATCGCGACTTGGTCGCCTGCGTTTTCCCGCGCTTTAGGCAGTTGACTTTTGTTCTTTTCCTCTGGGTTCTTATTGGTTCCTCTTGATATTTTCCTTTCATCTGATTGGGTATTGTGATTACTTCGGTTCTGGTTTTAAGACACTCAATCGAAAAAGCACCCGGTCGAAGAAGCTAAACTTGTACTTACAGTGATGATAATACACGGGTGTAACCTCTGTAATACATTGTCGTCCATCAACCGCTGGAAGGAGGCTTCTTTTTCAACAACTAACACAAATTTGGCATCGGAATGTAAATCTAGTCAGTTGATAGTTAAGGAAAAATACTCAAAATGTAACGGAGCCGGTCGGATTTCTGTCTGGCGTATCATCATCGGTTATGTTACGTAGGCAGCTAAAAGTTCAATTTTAAGATAAAACACCTCATGATGTGCAATATGTGACAAAGTTCTTATGTTTTACGGTCTTGGTTGCGGCTCTGTAGGTGAAACTAAAGTGATAAAAAGGAGCAGTACTTTAATGTGGCAATACAACTTTAACTACGACCAGACCATACAAACGAGAGCTAACTTTAAACGATAGACTTCGTGTAGCCGTACCCTCGCCCCCACCAAGCCAATAGGCGGTACTGTCTGGTAGAAAATATTTTATGCTTAGTATTTCGTTAGTAGCTGCCCAATGGAACTTAACGTTGAATCAAGAAATTGCAACACTGTTACGTTGTTCAGTTTGCTTTACAAGGATACTGTAAATTCCCTGCACGTGAGATGACACCATTGTTCCCTGACAATGAAAGAGAGACAAAGATTTAACAATGCATTTGAAATTGTTACACTACTGCGCCAAAGAATATAACCTAACATTACGATAATTGTCGTCACGTGCGATAAGATTTCGACTATGGACGCTTGCCTGTGAGCTCAGAAAGTCTCACTTCTCTTTATTTCATTTCCTCACAATCTGTTTGAACATTTAAAAGCAACACATTTAAAAAGGTATTTACGGTCACTGATTTTTTGGTGGCAACCATAGCAGTTTGTGGTTTGGTTACTTAGCTCTTTTTAAAATAGTTACGTCCATATTCGAATCATTAGCACATGTGAAGACTATTCTCGAAAGGTTAGATTATTCGTGGACACATACTCTGATGAGCGTGCAAAATATACAACACTGTGCATCAACATTAACCACCGTTCCTCCATGCTCTGATCACTTCCGATGACAAAAATAAGAGATGATTACACCAAAGACCAAATCAGCCTTTGAGGCCTTTTCCTAGGGAAAATCTCAAAAAGTGTTTCAGATCACTTCCGTTCTCGCGAAAGTTTGGATTAAACCAATCCTGCGTCGCACTTTTCAAGCTCATGTTGATATTCCATGTTCCGTCTATTTGTTCTCCACCGGGAACTACAACGACATGCCGTATACCAGTAATATCATTCCCTATTGATATAATTGGCGGCTTATCAAAGATTCGTGCTGCGGCAAGCAAAGGTTTTTCTTATCAACTACCAATCACTCTTTTAAAGAGTCACGTTATTAAAATCCACCTTTGTATCCACTCAGTTCTTGTAGCCACCGTATTTCAGTCCCTAGAAAAGCGCAGCTAGGTGGTCATTGTATAGAACTCCAAAAACATGTAACATAAACGCCAAAAAGAAAGAAAGAAAAAAATCAAACGGAGGCCAAACCGAGTTACTATCGTTGCAATCTACATATGCTCCATCGTGTTCTCTGTATCTCAGGTCTCCAGCAATACAACCTGTGGTAAAAGATAAAGACTATGGATAGCAAAAAAGGGGTTGGTATCTAAACGTTTCATACCCACAGTCGTTTCTTACCTGGACAATTCGTACAAAACAACCTGTCCATGAATTATAAAGGCAGGAGTAAAACGAACAGGTTGTTTTGGTCATCTCGAATCTTCATCAGGTATTTTTTTCTTTCAAATTAGGTATTGCTCGGCCTTTATTTTATTTCATTTTTCAACTGCCCTATCTGACAACTTTGTGGTGAGGCAAGTTCAACATTTAAAGGAAACTAACTCAACCCATGTTGAAGCACACTGTCCTTTGGATTGCAACCAGTGAGGTTGTTAGAAAACTGAGAAACATTTACAAGAGGCACTCTCTAAACAGTATCTTCCATATATCATTAAAACACAAACTTCCTTTGCTGTTACCATCTACTGTTTGAAAACAAGAAACAGGGCTTACCTTTAGATGCAGCCAGCTGAATAAAAGGAAAAGAAATCTAGTGGTTACAAATAAGTGTGATTACATCCAGTTTACAATTACCAACATTTAGTGTGTATCAGGTGCAAACCATGTTTCAGTCCTGTAATTCTTACAGGTTGGCAGTACACTGTATGGCAAGAGCTGAGCTCAATTGTTTCTAAAATCACTCAGGATTGTCTCCTTACTTTCCCAATTAGCACCAAACCTTCTACTTGTTGAGATATGTTTGATTCTTGCTCTGTTTATCTTTGCCTACGCTATTGTGTAACACCTACTGTTATGTGGTTGGTCAGTACAATCAACCTGCTGTGTGGTTTAGTTTGGTTCTGACCTATTTCAATTTTCTGAGAGCATATATAACTTGGACAGAGACTGACCTAACTTACCAATTATTGACCACAATTTACAACAAACTGACACTAATGACAACTAAATCTGGAGTGAACACAGAATCATATGGCCACTGATTGCCAACAAGGACACATTTCTCTTACAAAATAGTTAACAGTAAATTATAAAACAGCTTCCAGTTGCACATTTGAACTAGCTTACCACATGTAAACAGTGTCTTGGCACCTTCAGCATGCATGCAATGTTGTCAATGATTGAATCCACAACACTCTGATTCCCAAAGAATGGAACATCAGTGTAATAGATATCTCTGCAGATAAGTTAAAAGTTGCAATAGAGGATTGATTAATCAGATCTCACTTATAACCTTTCAAGAGTAGTTTATGATTGGTATTGGCTCAAAAATGTCGTATAATTGACTCATAACAGCATTATCTTTCCAACTTGAAATAATTTTATTTTAGAGAGCAACAGCTAGTGGTAGGTTCAAACTAAAAACATAAATAAGAGTTAAGTTAACTAATTCAGATAAGCAAACTACAGACAAAAAATGAATACAAACAAAGCAAAAAGGAAAAATACCTACATTGATAATGCCTAATGCGTGTCTTTAGGTAAAATGAACCAAATAAATATGAATGACGCAAAAAATAATTAGCAAGCACCTAGATCTTACAAGACTGACCGTTTTGTTGCATATGTATCTTGTTGGAGAAGGTTGTAGCAAAATGCCATGACCCTTAGTGTTGCAGCTAAGTTTGGAAAGAAACACAATTAGGAGATCTCTTTCAACATTCAGTCTTGTTCTACATTTTTATCTATTGACCAAAGGATTAGAGACAACTCAACAGGATTTGAAAATAACAAAGCCAGTCAGCACTCTTGAAGCTAAGTTCTGTCACTTTTCTTAAATGACCTCTGTCCCTTGCTATCTTTACACCTGAATTGGACTATGATATTTTATATACCATGTTCGGATACAGAGTAGTCTATGAAAACTGCCACTCATTTACTTCGGAATTGCATCAAATGTGTATCAGGTTCAGAGAACATCCATAAGACATGAGACATAAGACATACTTTTCCCCACTGCACATTCTATCTGCAAATACAGTTTAACCCTTTAACTCCCAAGATCTTATTTGTTAATTCTCCCCTCTAACTGCTACACATTTCCTTGTAAATTAGTTATGAGAACATGGTGCTAGATCAAGATAGCAGCTTCTACCTGATAAGTTTGAATACTCTCATTACCTGTTTGCTGAATAATGTATGGATATTGTAGGGAGAAGTTTTGTGTTAATCACTTCTGGGAGTTAATGGGTTAAGGCTACCAGTAACTCTCCAGTTTCCCTGCTTGAATCTCTAACATCCCTTTCTCTTCTTTCTTATTTTCCCACCCCCACACCTTTTCTTTATCAGTCCTTTTCCTCTCATCCCTTCCTTCTATAAATCTTCCCCCCTCCTCCTTATTAACATCCTTCTTTCATTTATTTGCTGAACTATAACATTTGGATCTTAACAAATCATACTCTTGTGTTACCAAACTTTCCAATTGATGCTATGGAATCAAATCTGTGTTCCGTCAGGCTGACATCATCAATCATTTCAATTCCAACTGCGCTGTTAAACCTGTAAAATACTCAAAATGTGTCTTTGCTCATTTTACTCATTTTACTCATTTTACCCTCATGTTATGGAACTGTTTCCTTGGTTCAAAATAGAGACTAACATATCTAGGTTTGGTTATCTTTATTAATACCATTATCATTAGTATTTATATCATTTTTACCATCAGGATTATCTTGTAATTATTAGAATAATCATTAATTTTAAAACTACTGCTATTATCATCATCATCACTGTACACAATATAAAGTATCAACTTACCTTGTGTTCTTCCATGAATTTCTGCAGTTATATTTCAGAGAAGGAGGTTTATTTTGAGAGATATCTTCAACTATCGTCAGAATAATTTCTTCTAGTTTGGTGATGGCTTCATCTCTACAGATAAAAAAAAACAGCAAATCACATAATAAGGTAAAAGTAATAAATCACTTAATTTACAGGTAAATCTTATAATTTTGTTTTTAATTAAACACTCGGGTTTTCTGGAATAAATATTTGTACCAGGATAACTTTCTGAAAAAATTACCATCAAAACCCCAGCAACGTCCTTGTTGACACTGATGTGCGATGCTAAATAAATCACAAGAGAATTTTTACGGAGAATGTTTATTACAGAAAGTGAAGTAGATCTTTGGAAGGGGTCAATCTAAAGTGTCTTGGTACAATTTCTCCAAAGTCGTTTAAGTTTACATGCTGTCTCGTATCGACTTACAGAACTTTCAACGAAACTTTTTTCTTCCAGAGAAAGTCCGTACCTGGATAACGTCTTAGGTTTTACAATACTTTTTTCGTCTACTTCATCACTTGATTTCTGTATGGCATCTATTCTATCCAAAGATTGCAGCTGTAGTTTGAGTAGGTTGATACAACGCCAAAAGTCTGCATTTGAGTTGGCCGCCATCTTGGAATGAGCACTACCTCCCAGAATGCAATGTAGGCTGGCTGGCTATTTAATTTTCGATTTCAAGGAAAGAGTCTGAGCCGGGTTTATCAAAGTAGTTGGGTTTAGATAACCCAGGGTTAGTGAGGAATCTGATTTCAGATCTGAAAACTCAAAAGGAAAATTCAGTCGAATTCTTTTTGTCTAGAATATAATTATTAGATGCCATTAAAAAGGATACAGAAAATTATCCCACAACGGCTTTCGAATAGAAGAATAAAGAAACCCAGGTTAAAATTTAAACTTGGGTTAGCTCTGATAGGCCTTCGAATAACTAGGCCCTGGTCTATCGCTAGCTATAAAACGAGCCTAAATCAGCAAACAGCTAGAAAATCACAGGAAACGATCATGCACTCATTCTGTGTCGCTTGCCAGGTTAGATTTGAGGAGAAAACTGGATTGTTCTATCATAATGAATTTTAGAGCTACAAAAAGACATTGTTATTTAGTTGATCATCGTTAAATTCTTACTTCCATACTGCCAAATACTGTGTAGAGAGAAGTTGGGAGAAATTGTTTGTTCAGTAAAGTTCAAGGAAGCCGGGCACCTGCTACTCAACAAACAGGTGGTAAGCTACGGTGCTACGGTGTATTTCATCAATTGGGTCAATTGAGAACGCAAGACATTACACTGAGAAAGTACTGGAAATATTCTTGGAGAACTCTCAAATGAAATGTAGCACATCTGATATTTTTAGCTTAAGTTGAAGTTGTAATATGTTCTTTTTTTCATCGCTTATTCGTGATTTTAATAACCTTAAAAGTAGAAGTTGATGGAGAGTCTGCCGCGGTTGCCTGGAACCTAACAGGTTACATATAGTTTTGCCACCTGAGTAAAGCGCGGTTAAACATTTCGTCAGAGTCTGAAAAGGTTCGTGATCATGGCGCCAAACTCATGGTCACTGCACCAAAATTACTCCCACACAAATGATCTGAGAAGAGCCACACCTTAGGGAAAGCAAACGCATACGAGGATAATGATCAAGGTTGAGATTCACGGACATTTTTTCCTGAAAAATCGAGAAATTCTGATCTAGACAGGAATCTTTGAGCGACCCACGGTCAAGGATTGGTGTTCCGATGCGAGGACTGTGGTCTTTGAGTCGATCTTCGGTTGACAAGTTTATGCATGGTGAAGGTGCCGTTGTGGTTCAAGACAACTGCAAATAGAACCCGAAGTTTGCGCAGACGTGTATTATTGTTGCTCTTCCTTGTTGGAGCTGGTAAGTGCTAGTTTGTTATCAATTTGATTTTTTCAGAGATCGGTTTTAAGTGTTTACGGTAGGTATTACTCCCTGGGGCAAAAATGCTGTCACTTTTAGACAACAGAATGTAAATTGTCTATGTACGAACAGTATTTTATGGGTGACTTTCGAGCACTTACTTTGTTTAGTCTCCTTTAAACTTTACCTTATTCTATTTTTCAACATAATTCGTTATAAATTTTCTTTTTTTGTGCACCGTTTACTTTTAATCGTTTATTGATTTTCGTCATTACGCACTTAATTCCCATTTTGATCGCGTGTCCAATTGAAAACTCAGATTCGCCATTAAGCCGACAGAGTACCGCGAATACGACTCACCAACTGAGAACCATTAAATACACACACAAAAAGCATAATACAGCTTTTCCTTCCAACTGGTTAAAAAAGAACTTATTAACAGTCGATGGATGAACCTTATAGTGCACGCTGATTCCGCAGCACTTAGGCCGAAGCTTGTCAAGCAAATATGTCTTTGTTGAATTGCTTTACATCTCAGGCCTTGCATTCGCTTTCCATGCAGATGAATCCACCCTGACAGAAACTTTTCGTACTTACATACCATCAAATGGCTCCACATAATTTAAAACCTTACTTTTTCCTCACTTCCACGCTAAGTCGCTTTTTTTTTTCTGGTCTCAAAGGTATCCGTTTCTCAGACGTTCCATTATACCATCGATATTTTATTGACAGCTTCGGAAACCGTCAACTAGAACGGATCAATGTCAGTATCTGAGCATCTGCGCACCTACCCCTCCCCTTCCCCAACAACAGTCAACTGATAAGAAGTTAGGTTTATGTTTGGTTAGGAGAGGGGTAGACGAACAGTTGCTCAGATACTGACATTGATTCAAAATTACGTCCATCGTCACCGATATAGGACTGGAGTCTAGTCAAGCTTGGCGTGGGGTTTTAAAGGGTCTTTGAGCGTTTAAGCTCCAAATAAATATTTTGATTAAAACAAATTTGTCTGTTTTGATTACCGCAGAAGTACCACAGCCCTGTTTGAGGCTAATGTTTCAGTTCCGACAACTTTAACAAAACCAGTAACGTATGTGTGCTTTGAATTCTCGACACAGGAATTGTTTATTACGTCTCAAACCAAGATCATGAAAACCAAGGCACTCCTCTTAGACAGCGCATGACGCGTCACGTGTTTACAGTAGAAGAGATTTTACAGTTCCCGGATAATTACCACACTAAAGGTGTGCTATCACTTCCTTATGGAGACATCGTGGAACCTTTTGAGGCCTGGTACTCCAATTCGAAAAAGATGAGCAGAATTGATTATTATAATGGTATGATATATTTTATCTACAATTTTTTACGACTACGTCATCGACTCGACCAACTAAATTTTTCGTACTTTCTGTCTTCTCTATTAAAGTTAAAACCTTTGCCCTTAATTTTATGAACAGTTAAGATCGAGCAGGGGGGGGGCCCTTAGGTTCGCACTTGCTTATATTTGTCATGCATTGTGCTCATCTACAAGGCAATATGTAAGCCATGTACGCGTGACTACATCAGAAAAATTGTGCAAGTGTACTTGATATGGGGCTTTCGTTGGAATCTCTCACTGCTGCAAGTGGTTTTCCTTTCGAGCTTTCAGTCTTAACAACACGTTTGATTTTCTGTGTTTCCTTTCAGGCATGGACAGAACATTTCAGCGCGGAGATCTGGGTAGGCACGGGTTTGCGTGCAAAATAGTTCCGGAATACTCTGAAGTGAAACATAAAACGTTCACGGGATGTATGCACAGGCGAGGGACAAAGAAATTTCCAATAAAAGCTCAAAATATTATACCAGCGCCTTCATATTTTAAGGTAAGGTCATTCGTTAATTCTATGGATTTACCGGCGTAATCAAGCGAGTTGATATACCTACACCTAAATGCAGTAGCGTTGCAATGAACGAAACATAAAGAAAAGGAGAAAAGCTATATTCAAATTAATTAGCATATAGCATAAGCCTACAGTTTTTTTTAGATTATTGGAATCGCTTGAAATTCCTAAACAACATCTGATACTCTTTAGGAAGTTTGAAAAAATGTTTGACGGGCATGTTACCAGAGGGTAGTTTTTGTATGCCGATAGATTTGTACCTGGCTTTCTCCTTTTTTTGTTTGCCCTTATTTTTTATTTTTTTTTTTATTTGGTGTACATCATAAAAGGCAATTGGCCAACCTTATCCTAGCTTATATCAGTTCCTTTGGTGGTAGGGTCATATGACATTATTTTATCTTTCTTTGCGTAGTAACTGTACACTACTCTTTCTTATAATAACTATCATTATTGACATTATATTTTTATAGTACTCCGGTACCGCTGAATTAAATGGTGCAGAGTGTGCAAAATGGGAACACTCGTTCACAATTTACGACAAGGTCAACACATATACATTATACACAACTAAAACCCGTCCATTAAAACCGCTCCGGTACGAGATGATGGGATATGATACGCTACTAGCCTCATACTATGATCATTATATCCTCGATTATCACGAGTTTGAAGCTTGGAAATTCAACTATTCAGTGTTTGATATACCAACAGGTATGGTGTCAATTGTGTTGCAGCCAAAATAGCTTATATGAGGTGACTTTTGTGTCTCTGTGTTTCCCTGATCACTGTTCAGCAGGGAAAGGATATTAACTCTATCGGACTCTAACTCCGAAGATCGGATACTAACGAGTAAATCTCTCTACAAATTTCATGCGTTTCTTCTTATTTTAAATATTAGGGTTGCTTTTCGATTGAGTATCGTTAACGACCAAAAGCACAGTAATCAGAACGGCCAATCAGTAGCAAGAAAAATACTTTTCAGGGCCAATGAGAACTCACAATAAAACAACCAAATTTCCTAAAGCGCGGGAAAACGCAGGCGACCAAGTCGTTATTGATTTTAGTTTTGCATCTGATTGATTGAGAAATTGGCGCGATTTTTCTGGACCAATCACAGAGCGAAGCAAGCAAAATCAATCGTTGAAAATTGCTCTGTTTCTAAACTTGGTTAAATCGTTCCGTTAGTTTCCAAGATGTTTGCTCTACACCATCCCACCCTCTCCTTTTCACCAGTATGATCACTTGGTCTCACTACGAGTCCTTATCTTGGACACACTCAGTCCTTTTGTATCAAAGGTTGAAAGTTTTTACCTGGATGTATGTTAAACCTATTGCAAGATTTTTCATTGCCGTTTTGGCTAATTTTGTGTTTGTCTAAACTAAGAAGTGATATTTTCTCAGCGTTATGATTAGCTCATTTCACTCACTGTATCAATATGCGTTCCTTACTAGACAATTACTTTGAGAAAGACCAAGTTTTTCATGATTTTAATCACTTACACAGATCTCCAATGCTTCGATTTTTCTCACGAGAAACTGGAGAAGTCGCTTGGTGAGATCAATCCTATAGTGGAATTCATGCCTCACAGTACCTCAGGCTCTCCGTATACACTGTCCCATCCGTCAAATTTTGTCACCACTCCCTCTCGCACCAAGACAGATCCTTTGCAGTATCTGCTGGACTCCTTGAACAAAATGCCGACGGTTAATAGAGAAATGTTCGAGCCCACAACACCCACCTCAAGCCTCCAGCAGTCTCTCAAGGACGAGGAGCAGACTCGACCATCACCGGCTCCCAAGAGTACAGGCGCGTTCAAAAATGTGGACCAGAAGTCTGGTTATAAAGATATCATGCGACACTATGAAGACGTAGTTAATGCTTTATTTAAATCTTTCAAGGCGAGATATAAGAAGAATTATATCTCAAAGCGGGAGCACGAGTCGAGGAAAGACATCTACAGACATAACTTGAGGTAGGGGTCGGCATGACAACTAATAACTTCTTTATCTTCATTTACGATCTTGTTCGACTTTTTTGATCATTAACTCCCGCGATTGGCCCGTCGGACCGTCTCGTTAATAGATGTAGGTCGTTAATTCTGAGATCTGACAGAGCTGCCTCTGCCGCGGGATAGGACCATTCAGCCTTTTTTTTTCCTCTATTAACACAGAACGAGTGCAAAATATACAGGAGTGTTGAGTGCCGGGTATTGAAGAGAATATTGAACTGAAATTAGTTGATCATTCCATCGCCATGAAAACGCGCGGCAACGTGCAAAACTCGACAAATTTATTTGCGTGAGAAGACTTTGTCTCCCGTTTACATCAGCCAGACCTAGTTCAAGTAGACCAGGTAAAGGAAAAGAAAAGTTATCTTCTGAAACTTTCAGGATGTATCTGAAGAGTGTGCCATTGTTATTGGTGCGAACTTCTGTAGAGTCCTTGTATTGGTAATAATTGAAACAGACACGGATACAGTGGGAGTTTATAGTGATACGAAGTACAACATCTTTTTGAGGCTTTTACACAGCCACGGTCTGAGCGTTTTCGATATGTGCGAGAAGTGAGAACAAGCTGACAAATTTTCAGATTAGCAACTAATCAATCACCCAATTTCTTCACTGACAAAAAACTTTCAAACCAAAAAATAAAATCTTACAATGAGGTGTGTATTTCTTTCGAATTCCTTGATGGCCTTGAAACGAACTGCCACATACGTTTAACTTAACCTTCATGAAGCTCTTTAACTACCATGTGACATGTAAACAGAAAATTCCAATCTCCTGATCTTCATCAACTCGATCAACAGGTTTATCAAGTCCAGAAACCGCCAAAACCTAGGCTATAGACTGAAGGCAAATCATATGGCCGACATGACTGAGGAAGAGATTAGACAAAAAAAAGGAATACTGATGGAAAGCGAACCTGATGCACTGAATGGCGGAAAGAGATTTGAAATACCGGAGGGTACCAATGTCAAAACCCTACCTGATACAGTTGATTGGGCAAAATCGGGTGAGTAGAAAAAAACTCTTATAATAAACGAAAACAAACATCCTGAGTAGTCGCCAAAAGTCACCAAAACTTATTTCGAGAAGCAAAACCCTTCCTTTTAAAAATAAGCAAATGAGCGAGTCTGGGGTAACTTTTGAATGAACTTAGTTCTTTACAGGAGGTCTAACCGAAACCATGGTTTTACGCAATCATGCAGTGGGCCTTAGGTTTTCCCTATTAGTGGATCGGTTTAATTAGAAAAATTGTTCTTTCCACCGTCAGCTTTCGGCCCTCCTGACACTGTTCACAAAAAATGGCTGAGAAAAGGTTCGGCTAAACTGAAGATAGTTTAGGACGCAGTTTTGTTCAACAACGACCAAACTTTGTTTACATAGTCAGACCGTAGAGCCCAGTCAATGAGCTCTATAAGAAAATATTTTACTATTTCTCCAGGTGCGGTAAATCCTGTAAGAAGTCAAGGAATTTGTGGCTCTTGTTATGCATATTCTGTTACTGGTGCCATGGAGGGAGCCTACTATATTAAGGTTTGTCAATTAAAAGATGACACAGCGCTTTAATGTTAATTGCTGCTGGTGCCGTAGACAGTTAGCACTGTCCCTTGAGAACATGGCGCTCGTCAGACTAACAGGATTCTACCGCGGTTTGTTTCTACTTTTGTATCAATTTCTGAGCTTTTCCATCGGATAAGAAGCAGAAAGGGTACAAATTTGAGGTGCTCATGAAATTTAAAGTGTTTTATGGGGTATTTCTTATAAACTGAGTTCAAGGTTCGTCCTGTACGTTATACAGACCGATTTTTTTCCGCTGGGATTTATGTGCGGTCCCTAAATCCGAGCGAAAAAAACGAGGTTCCGTAACTTACAGGACGAACCGAGAAAACGTGATTAGTAAGATAGTGATTTTATGTCTGGTTTAAATAGAGGGGAAAATTTCAATTCAAACAAGCTTTTGAATTTAGTGGGCGGTACAGTGAAATACAGCTTGCTACACTGATCAGTCATAGCGCACGTTCTAACTGAGAGATGTAATAAAAAGTTTTAAGAGAAGGAGCACGTCCTAACCCTGTTTGGCCAAAGTTGTATGTTTTTTTAAGTTGAATAAGCGATAAATCTTCCAATTCCAACGGTGAAAACATCTTTAAAATCACACACGTACATGTTTGTATTTCAATTCTGACTTCGCAGACTGGTACCCTCCTAAACCTGTCTGAACAACAACTTATAGACTGTTCGTGGGGGTTTGGTAACCGAGGCTGTAAGGGAGGATATCCACATCGAGCGATGCAGTGGGTCATCAAACACGGTGGACTGGCTACTGAAGAGAGCTATGGAAAATATTTGGCTCAGGTAAAGACAAGAAACTTCAGAAACAGTTTTAAGTGTATAATGATTTCCCACCCTCACTGTTAACATTCAAACTGTCCTGACGTCGTTTTACTGAAATAAGGATTACGCCTGTTGCTCTCATCCACCAAATGAAAGTACTTTTTTTACAGCAGAAGATGAGCGGAGAGGTTCCACCCAGAACCACCCCTCCCTCTCCTGCTTGTAACAATTTAGCCTCACGAATTCGCGTATTCATTCAAGGGTAAATAATTACTCTTTTTCACCATAACAGGAGGGTTTCTGCCACTTTAAAAATACGACAACAGGGGCTAAGCTGGATTTTTACATGAACATCACCAAAGGGAATAAGCACGAGCTGAAGCAGGCCATCGCCATTTATGGTCCTGTCAGTATCCTTATCAACACTCAGCCAAAGACTTTTAAATTCTACGGATCAGGAATTTATTATGACCCAGACTGCAGTGAGTAACTTATTCGTACTTTGATTTGTAGGCTGCGTGGAGGTTCTCCAACCCTTTCATTCCTAAGAGTGACTAGCATCTAATTTCTCTTTACAATATGACCCCTGAATCAAATTAAACATTAAGGCCACACTAAGGAAATAATCACCACCTAAAGAAGCTCTCGATTGTTTGAGAAAAACTCCCAAACATCACCTAAGGAGGTGTGTGGAGAACAGTATGGAGAATATGTATACTGATGTTGGAGTACAAAATGTTGAAGGGGTTTTATTTATGAGGTACGATTCAAGCAAGCCAATTTAAGTGGCTCACACCAGCTAGGTGCTCTTTCAATTTAATGAGTTTCTTTTTCTCCTCGTTCTCAGCTCATGCATTGGATCACGCGGCCTTAGCTGTCGGATATGGAGTGGAAAAGGGTGAACCTTATTGGCTGATTAAGAATTCTTGGTCAAAAGCTTGGGGAGATGAGGGATATATCAAGATAGCCATGAAAAACGACAATTGTGGTGTGCTGCAAAAGGCTGTCGTGGTCAAGATCAGAGAAGATTAAACTTGAGGAATAGGTGTTCAGCATGAGTAAACGTAGCTAAGGGGGGACTGGTCATTATTGTCTCTTAGGGGAGGGGAGGGCGGAGGATTTTGGTCATGTCATGATAAAATTTGCCTGATCCCCCTGAAGGTTCTGTAATATTGTTATGATACCCCCCTCCCTCACTGGCAGTTAAGTGGCGATTCCCCCCCCCCCCAGGCGATAAAAATGACAGGTTCCCTAGCAAATTTTAGCACTTATACTCAAAGCTGATAATTTTTCATATCTCTTATGAACACAACCGTAATTTTTTGTTTTTTGTTTTGAAGCACCTGCCGAAGCCGAGGGTCTCAATGGCTTGAACAGCTAACGATTAAAGCTTTGGCCATTTTATGACTAACGGTTAATCCAAATGACACAAATTGACACATTGTTGAATGGAAAAATTTTTACGGTGAATTTTTTTTACGACTAACGATCAAAATTTGTCAAATTTACGCCTAAGCGCTAATTTTGTTCGGCCGTTTAAGGGCTAACGGTTAACCCCAGTAAGACCCTCGCAGCTGCCGAGCGGGTAATATTTCGGATCGCCTTCGAAGCGTATTCTAAATTCGAGGACCAGAAATTTTCCAATAAGCTGTATCGAAAACTCGGTATAGCTGCATCGTTAAGTAAATTGAACGTTTTGCATTCGTTGAGCGGTTGCACCGCCGTAGGGCTTGCACTGTTCGTGGCATAGTCATACTTCATTCGTAGCTTAGTCGTATTAAATTCGTAGCTTAGTCGTACTACATTCGTACTACAGGGCCGAATCACCTAAGCTAAATTCATAAAGTAGTCTTATTTTTCACGAGACGCAGTTTAACTGGATTTGTTACGAAGTCTTACGACATTCGTTGTAGCTTCAGGTCGCTCTATATTCATAGAAGTCGTCTAACATTTGTATAGTTCACAATTTCCAAAATACTTGTATAACTGGCCTGTAAAGCTTTTTTTTTTCAAAATCCGCTACATTCGTTTATGTGGGCAAGCTGTTCAGCGCTACATTGGGAAATGCACATTCTGTCTTTTATTTTCGCTTTCACTTTCAGATGTGTTTTGTAAAGTAAATGCCATAAAGTAAGCTTTACTATTATTAACATGAACTGTTTCTAAAGCATAGCTTTTGTAATCATTGTTTACATATTTTTTTTGTACTCCATGTATATACAGAAACTAACTGGCCGCACAATTGAGGGGCCTGAATTAATTGGGAATGTACCGTTAATACACCACTTATATGAAGTAATAAACCTAAAAATAAATATTGAATTAAACTTTGTATGAAATGTTGCAAATTGTCACATTTTTGGGGTATTTACGGGCTCTGTTCCCGCCAATCCAAATGCCCGAGTGATGTTCTTCCTTATGATCGCAGAGCGCTCTGCGCCATGGCTTGTCATAGTCTTGTTTTTTTAATCTTCAAGATACGTTTTTTAGCATCTTTTCTGTTTCTCCCACAAGGAGTGCTTCTCGGTTGAGCTTCTAGAAATTCCTTGTCTGTATTTATAAAAAGGAGAAATCCTATCAGTAAAAGTTTTCCCAAGGAATTTTTGTCTTACTACAAAAAATAATGTCACAGACATGACAGATGTCTCGCCTTGGAAAATTTTAGCAACAGTAATCTTTACTACCTGGATGAACACATAGTTTTATCATAAACAATTATTTAGTGCCAAACATGTCGCCTTTATTCCTGAAGGAAGCAAAATGTGCTGTTGAACGAGAAGTTTTCCAGAGCCTTTATCTTTATATGAACCGACTGAAGGACAGGAAAGCGAGACACTATCCAAGTCTGCAGAGGAGTGAGTTTGATGCTACGACCCTTTATCACGAATACAAAACATTTTCCATGCATAATACTTATCAATGTTTATTGTTAACTGTGTAGGACGTTGGCGTTAGCGCATAGAATAAAATTGACTACTACTGGTTTTTTAAGAGAATTTCATGTATCAAATCTTTACGAGATAATTTAACTTTCATTGAATTAGCATCCAGATCATAGAGAAAGATGTTGTTAACAAACATAATGCAATTATGTTTAAAACTTAGGTTTTCAATGGAGAAGGGACGGGTACATGCGCACTGAAGAACGAGGAGTTCAACAACTCGTGTACAAGTTACATTTGATCACGAAAACTGCGTTTATACGAGTTACCTGAGGAACATCTGAAGGTCAGGGAACAATGCCTCAGTAATTCTGTGTTTCTTGTTCACACATGTATAGCAAAAGAAAACACGTAGTCCAAAAATATTTCTCTTGGTAGAGAAGGTTTGCGAGAATTCGCCATTTGATTTTGTTCATCTTCGTTTGAAATAGGAAAGTTAATGAAAATTATGCTGTTAAAGAAAACTAATTTAAAAAAAACATGAATGTGTTTGTTCTATTGATGTTAAACGGCCAGGAACCCATTGAAAAACAATAAAAAATTATCCTCTGTCCTGAATGGCCCCGCCCGCGATTTTATTGAAAGCAAGAAACATAGAAAAACTATCGTATAGGGACCATACGCAATAACAAGAGAAGGGCTGGGAAAAGCCACGCGACTCTGCAAGATAAGAACTGACAAAAAGTTAGGAAGAAAGAGGATGAGCGGCGGTCTTATGATAAAATGCTTATTGCCTGAGATAAGTAGTAATACTCCTAGTAACTTCATGCTAAGGACACTGGGGTAAGCTGCGACTGGTTGGGCCACTTGGCTCGACTTCAGACTCAACTACCATGGCCTTCCTTGGCCTACTATAACCTACCATGGCTTACCATATTATGTGCCAAATTATTTCCCGTGCCAGTTATTATATAGTATTTACTTTCCTGGGTAACATTGCATTGTTCAGTCTTGCAACATTATGCTTTATGTTATTATGCTATTATGTCCAAGCGCTCAGTTGCTGCGGATAAAATTGTCTTCAGTCTTAAATGAAGTACCAATCGATAGCTTTGTAACCGTGGTCTTCATGACGTTCTCGTCATATTCGCAAAATAGCATAAACATGGCAGAGGAAAGGTAACAAGATGGAAATATCAGACATTTAAACCTGATTATTTCATACTTCAAGTAAATAACTTTACTGTACTCTCTTTTTTTTTCCACAGTGGTGGGTCTAGCTGGTGGGGAACATGGAGCTCTGCCACAGAATTATTATCTACTGTTCGAAACAAGGTACGTGCGTGTCGTATTAAATTTGTTTGTGACGTTTTTTGTCGAAATTGGAACAATTTATCTGTGTATTCGCCTCTTAAAGGTGAAATTTTAAAGAGTTATCTATCTTCCATAATCAGAGCTTTCAACTACATCAAAATTGAATTAATGAAAACTTAAATTCCTCTGTGGATGTGTTCACAATGGCTGAATTGAGTTTAACATATTGAAGATGTATATTGGCGATTTAAGAGTAGTAACATTTGAGGTGGTTGCTGTTGTGAGAAATGGTTTGACCATGAGATGTTTAAGGAAAGCATCTACTTAATAGCCCGACATAGAGACCCAGTGAGAGAAATCCACGTGAAATGAGGAGGATAATAATGTGTGCAGATTGGCAGATTTGGTCTTTCAAAAGCTTGTGGATAGTAGATTTTTGCCCCCGCCCCGACTCCTACTAAAACGCATGGTGAATTCACTGATTTGAAAAATATTCTGAATCATGCTTGCATAGGAAATAGTAGTAAAAGAAATCATTACACAAATGGAGTTTGATTCATGTATGTTTTTTTTAAATTGGAAGCATTAAATATATGCAAAGTTTTGCATGTTTTGATAAAATTGTGTGGTTTGGGTATCTGCACCCCCAGTCAGAAGGCCTATTTTTCTTGTTTGGAAGAGTTGACTATAGATTGTTTCATTGGAATGGGAGTCAGCATAACTGTATAGCATAGACCTTTACATTTCCCTTTGGCCAAGCAGGAAAAACGAGAGTTTATGCTAAGGACTTGAGGGTGCCCCTCTGTTCTCTAATCTTTTTTTTTTTTCCCTATTTGCCATTGCACGACCCTCTCCACAACCCTTTCCATGACCCCCCTTCCACCACCTTTTCATGCCATAGCTAAAGGAAAAGGTAGAGGGCTGCTCCATAAGCTACATAATAAAGAAAAACATACATAAATACACACAGTCATGGAATTTGTACCAGCTTTTCAATAGTATGGATACCAATTTGAATAAAAGTAATGTTGGATCTTCTGACATAGGATTTGTAAATGCATAATCACCTTCCCTTCCATCCCCTCCTTCCCCCCACGCCTAACCCTTATGAGGATTAATTTTATTTTCACAAAGTCCTTTTTAATGGGCTCTCAATTCTAACCTAGAAAGCTGATATGTTCAAACAATGATTTAATCTTGAAAATGAAAGCTATTGATTGAAAAGCTCTTTGTTTTTCTTTAACAGTCTGCAGAGGCTATGACGATGGTGAAACAAGATCTTGCTGAGTTTGTCAGCACTGTTCAGCAAGACACATCAGCTGTGGTGGCTGATACAGCTAATGCTGTTAAAGAAAGTCTCAAGGTACTAGCATATTAATTAAAAAACTCTAATGTCCATTTCATCTAATGTACTGGTCAGTGCAAGAGGGGGGAGGGAGGAATTCTGTTATCTAGCTGAAAGAGCCTTGTGTCCCCAAACTGAGTATAGTTTTTCAGATCTTGAAACTTAAACAGGGTATACAATTTCACTATTTATAGCCTCTGAAACAGTGGCTCTCTTGACGTAGTGGTGTGAACCTGGAGGATGTACAATCCACATTTGTGATAGTATTGTTTTGAAATCTAATTGGATGAGTATTCTAAATGTGGTTGGATCTCACAATTGTTCTATCCAGGAAAACTAAAAGATGTCTCCATTGTGAATGATTGAGTATTAAATACTTTTCTCAAGAAGGGAGCTTTCCTGATGAACTTACTCAGGAGTGAGTTATTCAAAATAGTAGGCAAACACACACATAAATAACTCAGAATGGTTCTTTTATGTCTTCTTTTCATACTTGATGACCAGGTAGATGAAGAGGAAGAACAAGATGGCACTTCAGCTCGTTTAAAACAAGGTATAAATTTAAAAAAATAACTATGTCACTGCACTTTTAAAGTATTACAGGAATTTTTCTGTGTTTACATCCTTTAAACCAAACACACCCATAACCAAGGAGAACATCTCAGTTATTTTGTAGCATTTGTTAACATAACATAGATCACCGGTTAGTATGATTGCCAAAACACTGATTTCAATTCACTCACCCTTCAGGTGTGTCCAAATTTCTTGGATCCTTGTCTACCAGCTTGAGAGACAACATCTCTCATGTTGCCACTGCAGCAGCAGCAGTCACATCTGATGGTCCTGAGCCAGTTTTCGACAAAAAGCAGGTAGAGCAAGTTTGCAATTGAAATAATTATCCTCTATGAGCAAATTCATTATGCTGTACATGTCAAATTTCATTTTTTTCAGCTCATTGTTGTCATTTTATTTCAAAGGCACGCCTTCATGAAATTCAAACAGACCCAGCTACATTTTGCTCAGAACCAAATGGTATGTACCAGAGAGAAAAGATATAATTGTTTTTCTTGCAACCTTCCTGTTCAGTAAAGAAATTTGGTAAGAAGAGTATTTCATAGAATCTGGTCAACCTCTGTAGAAACATATGTGTTATTGACCAAGCATGAAGTTAATATGGGTGGATATTGGCTGAGTTCTTTTTTGCCTTTTTTATGGCCTGGGACCATGGGGGGGGATCCACAAAAATGCAAAAAGAGATTGGTCAATGAAGGATTTATTATATAGCAAAAGATTTTGCTGTAATAACAATCAAGAATGGCTTGTTTATTTCAAGAGCTAGGAATGAAAGCCAACTGTGTTTGTAGCACTTGACTGCCTTCTGCTGCTTTTTGCAACTTCATCAACAATATTTTCCAAAAGTAACGCACTTTGTGAGTCTGCCCAACGCACTTTTTTGTTGCTTGGGATAAAGTCCTAGGTGGGCAAGATATGCCCATCTTGTTCACTTGGGTAGCTAATCAGAACACAGGATTCACTTCATATTGCCCTCGGGCTCAGCCAGCTATATAAAAGAACACAGACATATGCCAGGTAGTAAATGAAATGGTTCAGCTTTTGTTCTGAATCCTTTAAATTTTGAAAGAACCTAATTTATTTTTAACATTCTCTTTTAATTACTAACACAGTAGAACTAAAGCTATTTGGGAAAATGTTCATAGTTGAAAAAAACATTTTAGTCACAATATTAGCAAGCTTTAAAACGGAAAACAAAACACAAAATACAAACAAAAAATCACAAGAAACTTTAAAAATTATGAGTTCCCTGTACCAGGATTGGAACTTCAGTTGTGACTGCTTTTGCATGGTTGGATGCTCTACCTACTGAGCCGAGGAAAATGGACTGCTATCTAGATTAATTGAATTTTAATCAATTTTTTTATTTTTTATTTTACAACTAGTTGTAGGGTTTCTTTGCTTGATTTTCTTTCAAACCTACAGTCATTGGAGACTCCAAACCTTCTTTAAAATCTTGATTTACATAAATGTGAAGTTGAAAAAATTACATTATTATTTCATCAGGTCATTTAGGGATGTTTGAAGAATGGTGTAAAACATTTGACCCTGATGAACACAAAGGAGAAATCTCTGAGCTGCTGGTCAATGTCCCAGAGATCAGGGCACTGTATGCTAAGTTGGTATGTGAGATTTTTTTAAATTGAGATCCTGAAAATGTAAATGATGAATAAACAAAGCAATAATTGATCAAATAAATAAACAAATAAATAAATAAATGAGTAATCAAATTAACAATAAATTTAGGGCAGAAAAAGATTGGCAAACAAATAGATAAATTGGTAAACGACTTTCTATCTAATGGAAGATGGAGGACTGATTTTATGGGTTCATTAATAGAAATGGATGAAATTGGAGTTATGTAACTCCTGTCATTAGTGGAATGATGTACACAATATTCAGGTTTTGCTAGTGAACAAAATGGGAATGGTACCTTGGGATTGGGAGACACTTGGACATGCCAGATAAAAATATTGCTTTTAACATGTTAAAAGTCAATTAAGTCTAAACAACAAGTTAAGTTTCTTGCATACTAAACCAATACAAATACTATCAAAACCTTAAAAAAAGCATTGATTTCCTCACTACAACCTTTATACCCAAACAATCATCAGGAGAAATTTGTTCTATCCTCTCAGAGTTCAATTTCCTATTGAAAATTTTCTTCCTCTCCAGGTGCCAAGTGCTGTCACTCATGTTCTTTTTTGGCAAAGGTATTTCTACAAAGTACATCAACTTCAGCAGGTATGGTTCTTACTATTTGAAGTGGGAATATGTTACTTAATAGAAGTGTTATGCAACTCATGTAACATTGCTTTGGTTTTATGAAATAAGACATCCAAACTTGTACTGGATTGGAAACTGGTTTTGTGCATTAAAAATTGTCACTGGCTGGTGAATTCTCTGACTAATTTCTTTACAAGGTCTCACCTTGAAACTGGAATGGCAAGCTTTTGTGCTTGCTTGTTCTCAAAATGGTGAGATAGATTTTGTCTGGGTTTTTCACACGCGAAAGCTCTTGTATTCAATGCTTTTGTGTGCTGTCAACACCAGAAACATGCATTGTCTTACACCCTGTAACCCCTAAGAGTGACCAACATTTAATTTCTCCCTACAATATCAGCCCTGAATCAAACATGAAGGTTATGAGAATAAAGGAAATGATCACCCATTAGAGAAGCTCTTGATTGTTAAACAAATTCTCCTTGTCAGCACCTTAGGAAATGTTTAAAGAACACTTTGATGTTCTTGTGTAAAGGGTTAACCCTTTTACCATCAATGTCCAGAGATCAATTTACAACTCTGTCTGTTATGGATGTTGTATAATGTTTAGCTCTAAGTATTTTGGTGTTGTCTCAAACAATATCCCTTTGTTTACATGTTCCTTTCTTCTCAAGACCTTTTTGATATGAAATGTATCAATGTTACCAGTATAAGGAGAAATTCCATTACTGTACCTGTCAAAATAATTTATTTATTGTTTATCAGGAAGAAAAGAAGAGAGCTGCACTTGTTGCAAGGGCAAACCAAGCAGATGATGAGGATCTAGGTTGGGGAGATGAAGATGAAGGTATTTTATCAATTTATTTTTCCTTGTTTGTATTTTAAGTTTTAGCCACACCTACACCTTTCATTTCTTATAGTGATTGTTTTCATTCTGCGTAACTGAAATCAAACACATCAATTTGGTTTTGAAGCAATTATCAAAGCAATTATCAAAGCATTTGTTGTTGTAATTTGGTTCTTGAGACTTTCTTGACTTAGGCTAATTGAGCTCTCACCTTGAAACCAGAATACCAAGCTGATATGTTTGTGTTTGTTCTCAAACTGGTGAGATAGAGTATTTCTGGGCTTTTCACATGCTGAACTTTTGTTCATTTTGTGTTCATGTGTGTAGTAAACACCAGAAACATGATTGCTTACAAAATATATTATGTACACTGTTTTGCACTTGAGATAAGGTCAGTGAATTTTATTGTTAAGTTTTCTCTAGATTATTTTTATAGGTTCCTTAAAAATTTCAGTTACCAAAAACCCGCAGATAAGCCGCACCCGCAGATAAGCCGCACCCTGAATTTAACAGCTAAAATTTTGGAAAAAAAAGTTTTTTGGAAGAAATCAAAAGAAATCCAAAGTCGAGTCTTAAGAAGTCTTCTTCATCCAGTGTTCATCGCACATAAACTCACTATTAACATTGCAACGGAAAATACTTCAAAGTCTTACCCACAATTTTACCACTTTAATAAAATGAACATCGTTTCTACCAACTTTGACATATGATTGATCTTTTTCTGGTATTTGTTGACAGGAATTTCTTCATTCAACACAGTTTTTCCATAGATTTTTGCATTACAACAAGAACGTGCGTGGAACATTCGAAGCTTAGTCGTAGATAAGCCGCACCTCCAATTTTTGGCGATGATTTTTGGAAAAAAAAGAAGCGGCTTATCTGCGGTTTTTACGTCAGCTAACTTGTATGAGGATGGGGGAGTAGGAGGGGTAGGGGAAGGCAGATACTGTCTACCCACCCCACCCACCGTATTCAAGCCCCACTCCACAACGTGCGCCCCAATATTACTAACTCCATCTTGGAAAATGTTGTTTCTCATCTCAGATTACAGTTTTATTTCTTTTTAGATTTGTGGGATTTAGATGAGCCCCCAGTGGAAATTCAACCCACAACTAAACCTGAACGCAACAGAGACCCCCTCCCTGATGAAAATCCTTTAAGAAATGTGACACAAGAACCTGCGAAGGCTGAGAAGTCCGGTGAAATCACAGCTAATAGTAAAGAGAAAATGAACCTGTCTGGTGCTGTAGCGGAGGAACAAGAGGGAACTGTTACCACGTCCTCGCCTCGAAGTGAGAAACTGAGTGAAGAGAAAAGTTTAGGGCTGGAGGTTAAACAAAGGCCACAAGAAATTGCTATTCACAAATCAGAGGAAGTACCTTCACAAAAAGCTGAACAGACTGAACCAACTCAACCAAATAATCAAGATATATCTAACGATCAACACGAACTGGCTTCTTCAGAGCCGTCAGGAGCACAGCCTGAAGGTATAGCAAACGACAAAACAGCTGATGATGCGCGTCAAACAACTTTACACAAACGTGATAACAGCAGCGGCTCTGGTGACAGTTCGTGGTCAAAAATTAGTTATGAAGACCTTAAGACTGATGGAGATAAAGGAGGTACATGTAATAACCTGTTACTTATGATCATAGGAAAAGGCACTGTTTTGATTCAAGAATTAATTCCATGTCATGTCACCCATTTTTACATTACACTGCCTTGGGGATACGGTGCTCGCGTTTAACAAGCGTTGAGATTGAAAAAGGTCGAGAGCAACTGCCCATTTTTTCCTTGACATTGCTTTGTGCTCATGGAAAAGTGTGGAAATTTTTCTGCATAATTTTTGAAAAAGTGTGAAAATTAAGATAAAGTCTTGGAAAAATGGAAAGATAGAAAGGCAGTTTCAAAACTCTCCTCAGGTGATCTTAAAGTATGATTGTCCGGGTTACTCAGTTCAACAAATATTGCTTCAGTCTTAATCAGATTCATTTGATCAGTTGGAAATCGATTGCTTATTATGACGCATTTGGACTTGGGAAGTGTTCCTTAGTTGTGACTGGTCTGTTTTTCTCTTTTTTCTAGCGGTAAAGGTACAGCTGTAGACCGTTTAGTTTGGTTCGTTGATCTTTTCAATATGCTGTTGATATCTTTTGAGAGGGGAGAGGAATCAGTTTTAACTTAGTAAACCAGCTTTTCAGAGTCAGACGTTTGAAATATTGTGGTTGTAGAATTTGACCGGTCTAAGGTATTCTTTTCTCTTCTCAGCTGATACCAAAGAAACTGGAGCCGGGTCTGGGAAGAGCTCCATCTCCTCTGGCAGTGGGGTACTGGTGCCCAATGTGGATGACAAAGATGTGGATTGGGACGATGGCAATGATGATTTGGATTTTAACGAGGAGATGTCCGAAGAGGAAGTCAAAAGAATAATGGAAAGTATGGCTAATAAGAAACAAACTGCTGCTGATGATGGTGCTGCGGATCTTGATGTGAGTCAATGGTTTAAAATAGGTCTTATAAAATTAAAAAAAAAAAAACAATACCACTATTGATTTTCTCAGGCGTTTCCTCATTTATGTGCAGAGAATATTTGAAATGTTTACCATTGTGAAGAAAAAGGTTATTCATTATGGGAGTAAGTTTTCTTATTTCGGCTCAAGAAGAGACCCACATAAAAGATTACCTCAACTAGGCTTTTACCCAGTTTACATTTTGAACAACTCCAGTTTGTTGGAAAACGCTTTGGTTTTTATTTCTCATTGGGGAGGAAGACATGTTATGCAAGATAGTTCGATCACAGAACAATTTTCAGTGGTTTCGAAAGAAATTTGGTGCTTTGGAATTTGTGTCAGAAAACTCGCGCCACCCTCAACCAATCAGTTTTCAAACTTAACCGATTCGTTATTTCGTCACTCGCGTTTTTGCGCCGGCTTTCAAGGAAGTTTGCCTGATTTTACTTTTGATGTGTGTGTGTGTTTTTTTTTTCTGCCTCTAAGTTCTGAATGGCCGAGGCTGCTAACGTTTTAGCTAATTTTGGTGTGTGTGTGTTTTTTTTTCTGCCTCTAAATTCTGAATGGCCGAGGCTGTCAACGTTTAGGCTAATTTTTTTTTCACATTTGTGTTCACAGGATGATGACTGGGAGAACTGGGACTAGCCGAGGAACCAAAAAAACAAAACGAAACAAAAAGACAAATGTAGAGAAAAAACAAGGGAAACTTGGCCCGACTACTAGGAGGAGCAAGTTTACTATTCTGATATTTTGTAAGATGTTTTCAAATATATTATATTAAGAGAAACACAGAAACTAAAATTCTTAAGCAAGTACTTCTCATTAAGACATGCAAACATACCTAATCTACCTGGGGACTTTAAAGAAGGCGTTTTTTTTTTTACGCGGATATTGTAACAAGGTTTGCTACGCTTACTCCTCTAAGCTGTTTTCTATTTTTATGTTCTATTTTTTTTCGGGGGAAGTGGATAAGAATTTGAGAAACATAACTGCAAACAAATTTCGTGTTATTTCGGTCAAGAAGATTAGGTTATCAGAGAAATCAAGATTAAAATGTATTTACTGCAAGACAGTTCTAATAAGTGCTGTGTCATAAATGGAACAAGTGTCCTAGCGTTCCCCGTTGACTTTTTATGGTTTACTGTCAACATATACTGTATATCCTCGAATAAGCGCCCCTTTCCGAATAGGCTCCCCAAGGCCCCTTCCCCTTCCCCTTCCCCTTCCCCTTCCCTTTCCCTCCTTACTTTATCAAAGAGCACCCCCCTCGATTAAGCGCCCTCCTCCTAATAAGCGCTCCTCCTTTCAGCCGAAGTTTTAACTAAGCGCCAGGCGCTTATTCGAGGAGATGCGGCACGTACAGTTTCACTCCCATACCACAGCGACCATCTGCTGGACATGGTTACTTTCCATCATGATGTGCTTCATGGTTTGTCTGTTTTTTTTTTCTTTTGGTAAAAATAATAAAAAAAAGTTGACACTGGCTAAACTGAATATATTGTTCTGGATGTTTCGGCCTCTACTGTTGCCTTCTTCAGCAAAGATGAAAATACAAATGCCTAACGGCGTCCTGCTTGGTATATGTCCACGATGGATAAAACTAAATCTCGAAGGATTTTTCTAAGTGTAACAATAGTCTTTAAAAGTTCTTAATGTGATTGTATATGTTTGGTAGCGTTGTGTTCGTCCCCTCCCTTGTCAGTGCTTCATGGTTGATTTATGTTTTATTTTACGCCTCTACGAAAGGAGGTCGGGTAAATTGAAACCAAATATTGGAGTATAGGGAGGACTCCTCGTTCTTGACGCCACTGCACAATTTAAGGCTGTTGTCCACGCACAACATAAGCATCAGAGCAAGAATCATACCGTAGAATGCTGAATGTCAGCCCGTCCGTACACAGGGCTATTGAAAGACTTGCCGTTCAACTACTTGCATTGCAAATGGCTGATGATCATGGCAAACTTTCGACGAACAGCCTAAACGGCGCGATCGGCTCAAATGAAACAAGCGAAGAGAAACGGAAAGCTAGAAGTTGTGAACGATACTTTCTCTGTAATTAATGAGATTGTGTATGGCAGACCACTTCCTTGATCAGGGAAGTACTTATCTTCCTGGTTACTGCTAAACTTTGCTGAACTACTTCCCTATCCAGCTTAGTGACCACGCCTTGTTTACCAATGAAATAAAAATTAGGCTTCTTCACTACGCGACAAAAGATATTCACTGCAAAACGCAGAGGGCTCGAGAACCGCGAAGAAGGGTAGCCTTCACAAATTTTGTCCCTTATATGAGACAGAAAAGCAATAAAAAAGTAAAGATCATCGAAGACGATAAGAGAGGAGGTCTTGGAATGAATCCAAGAATGGTGCGAAGCCTACTCGTCCCTCCCCTGTCAGTCGTTTATTGAGAGGATAACGTCATTAAGAGAAACGTGCTTGCCAACAAAACACAACATGGCGGACTGCGAATGTCAAAATGACGCTAGTGAAAAAGAATCACAGATTAAGGAAAAGAAGGCGAAGGGCCCAGAAAAAGATCTTCAAGCGATTTTCATGAAACTCAGAGTAGATAGTGGACCGTAAGTAGCTACTGCATACTTCTTGTTTTCTTCGTAAAATTCACCTTTTGTAAGGGAGTTAAACAGGAACCGATATTGACGGAGAAACTAGGTCTTGTTGACGATAAATCAAATGTTTTTTTCTTTTCTTTTTTTTTGATATGGTACAATATCTTTTCAGAGGAATAAATGGAATTATCTGCATCAATAATTTTTGAAAATATTCTGTCTCAGAAACGTCAGTTCGATCAGACACGCAATATTCCGACGCGTGAGCATGTGAATCAGCAAGTATTTTCTGAACTAATGAAATGACAAAACAATATTATTCCCCTTGAACTAAGAAACCTTAGGCAGAGTTTAAGGACATTATAACTACCCAAAGTATCATCAGGATTTAAGCTCTCGTCTTAAGGCCTCAATTATATGCTTCAATTTTCTGGTAGTAATTAAAAAAGTGCTGCAAGCAGCGTTCTACAAATGACTTCAGACATTCTTGTTCGCGGGTGCGAAAATCGAAATTGTCTGCATTTCAGTTTTCTTGGAATGTTTCTTTCGGTTTTCATCAAAATTTTCCCATGTTGTGTTTCTTCCTAGAAGCTTAAAAGAAAAAGTAAATAGTATCGAACCTTATATTGTGAGATTGACCAAAGAGAATCGTGAATGTTCAATTTCAATTTATGCTGTGCTATCGTTTTTCTGTGGTCAGTCTTCATATTTAGGACTTTGTTCTTTGAACCAGATAGCATTTAACTGCCCGTTCAGAGCACCTCAACATACTGAAGTATGATCATGATAATCAAGTTTAATATCTTAATTGCATACTTGTTGGGCTCTGTAGTAAATTTACCAACTATAAACATACTTTTACAAGCAATAGCCTAAATCAACATGGTATATTTAATGGATTATCAGTGTTTTCCCAATTATTTGCCTTTATTTGCACCCTAAAATCCCTCATGTCCAGGGAAGATCAGCTATTGAAATGGAAAAGTGGGATTTGCCTACCTTATTTAGAAGACAATATGCACACTTTGTGATTCACAAACTGCTGTGGTTCCACTGTAAATTTTCTCTTGTTATTCAGGATGATTCTACTTTCATTATTGTCAACAGTTAATAAATAGAAGTGTAAAGCATTGTCTTTCAATATCTTTGTATGCTTTTTTGTTATGTGTGTGTTTGTGCATGCATTCTACTGGCTTTCCTCACATGTAATACAATATAATGCATGGAAAGTTGTGTGTGTTTTTTCATAAAGGGAGCTGTTATTGTTTCTCACTCTAACTGTTCATTTTCTACCATAGTAAAAGACTTCGTAGGAAGACCTGGCTTGGAGTTCCCGGTAGTTTGAGAAGCAGAAACATTGACAGCATACAGAATGTGAGAAAGATCCTCAGGGAACCAACATTTGTTTACAAGAATCAGCAAGCTTTCTCTAATGTTTACAAGAAACAACGAGCTTGTGGTTTTAGACGAAGAAGGCGTAAAGCTAGCCTTAGCGTAAGGGAGAAAAGATGTCAAGAAGATCAAAGAGAATCACATAGTGACAGTGAACTTGAATATAACAAATCTCTTTTGGCAAAGAGTTTATGGAATGCAAGTAAGGAAGGAAAAGTTGTACCAAAGTCTTTTCAAACAAGGGAAATGGTTGCAGTTGACTGCAGCAGACAACACAGAAGATTTCAGGGTGCAAATGTTCAAAGAGCGGCAGGGGTGAACTTCGATGACACAACGCCTGAAGAGTTGGCTGCATATTTTGATCAGTTGCTATATTTTCCAAAACCTATGTCAGCCATGGCTGAAATGATGTACACATAGTTATTACATGAAATAGTATAATATTGAAAGTCTTTGCTCCTATGACAGGCAACGTGAATATTCTCATGTGAATAGGGTCTTTTCTCATGATCTTTAAGATTTTGCCCTTTGATTCTTGTAAATAAGTCTCCTCAGTAGACTTTTCTGAAGGAGATTTTTCTGTCAACTTTCATCTTTAATTTGTTGAGGTTATTTAATAAAAATTAATTAGTAGCACAGTTATTTGGTTTAGGCTGTGGTTAAAGGCTGTGGATTATTTCCAAGGGGAATAAATATATATATATAACTGATTATTAGCTGAATAAACTCCCCTGATGAGTTTTTAAAAAAAAAAAAAAAAAAAGAGAGAGAAACAATCAATATATTTCAGGTGTTCTTTCATGAAATAAACATATTTGGTGTAATACTCTTTGGTGTAATCATAACATTACCTCCCAACACTTTTAAGTTTTAAAGGAATTCCTTTAATTCCCTGAAAATGTAATTGTAAAAAAGAAAAAAGCATCCAACATTTGATCAACTGAAAACAATTTGACAAAATTTATAATTTCAGGTGTGACCACACTGACTGTTTATGTTAAATATAATAACTGCATGTATGTGAGGTATGATAATATTTATCCAATATTCAACTTCAAAGTCACTTAACAATTGGTTCATAGGTCAGCATGCGTTCATCAAGATATGAAGAACGTGGGAAGTTTGGAGAGCATGAAAGATGCATAAGAGTTGCTTGAGGTGTAGCCTTGAGCAACTCTAGCTTCTTGAGTGCTCTCCAAACTTCCCGTGTGCTTCATATCTCGATGAATGCACAGATGACGTATGAACCAATTGTTTTATAAATTTTTCAACCTGATGGAAAATTTTTTTCCTTGAGGGATTCATTTGCTGACGTCATGAGCATGCACAATAGGAATATGAAGCACGCTTGTGTAATTGAATTTGATCAGACAAATTTACCAGCTATGTTATAAACATCATTGTATCATGCATGACTGATGCTGAGGAGAACAGATAACTTTTTTCTTAGACACCACATTTTTGGGATCTTGTTTTGAAAAACGAACGTTTTTCTGCCTGACCAAGAAAAAATAACATACTTTCTTGTTAAGGGGAGGTGGAAGAGGTAAATAGTTTTTAGGCCAAAGCAGTTAACTTTGCTCACCCACTATTTCCCTCTCTCATAAACTGGGATGCAAAAGACAAAATGGAAAAAGCAAAAATATACCAAATTATTCAGGACAAGAAGGAAGACTACTTCGTGAACATTGCCTAGGTTACAATCTCTGTACGTAAGCCCTAATTTCTCCCGTTCCGAAGCCCGCATTATTTATTTATACTGTACAGTTGGCTACAAATGTAGAGCTTGTATATTTATTTAAGTCACATTCAGTTAAATCTGGAAAGTTCATTGGTTATGAGGACCACTGTTAAATAAACTTGACATTACAAGTGTTTTACATCAAGTAACTGTTGCGAAAAAGTAGTTAACATATGAAAATATTTTTTGAAAATCAACACTATGTATCGTAGTCGGCTTAGAATAGTGAATATTTATTGTGTTTTACATTGTTTTAAGCGGCAATCGTCGATTGTACCACGACGGTGTATATACAGGGGTAAAGGCGGTGGTATAAGCGTGTTTACGACACCTCAAAGCGCGGATGTTTTTGTGGCTAGTTTGCACGAGGAAGAACGCCTACTTCTTCGTGAAGCTCTAAGAATACATGATCAAGCTGATGAAGACACAGGTAGTCTGAAATGAGCGTATACTGACCCGAAAAATATGATATATTATTCCATGGATCATTTCTTTGCTTTGCACAACGTTGTTCGTGGGTTATGCGTGTGTATCAACATGTCCATAATTATTCTCTTTTTTTTGTCTTCCTTTTATTCAATAGGAAAGGAAAACTCAAATCCTCCCTCAGTTAAACAATTAAGATTAGGTAATGTAACGTCATCTATAGATAATGTCCAGAACGGTTGGTTTCCATGCTCATATAAACAACCCTGGATAAACAAAAAATTGTATCAACTCGTCCATAAATTATGCGTGCATGAATGAGGTATGGTGTACCAAAAGGGACAAGTACCACTAAAAATGAAGGGGGTAACTGTGCCGCTGTGGCTAGTGGGACAGAGTTTGCTATGTCATTGTAAGAGAAGATTATGCCAACTCTTTGAATTGTTATTGGTGCCTCACACACACAAGAAATCTCCTGGTCTCCTATGCAGTTCCCCAAACTTCACAGATTAAGGCTAGTTAATATATTTTTCTTTGACGGTTTACAAATGGATTTTGAGGAGTTTTTGAGATTTTTTTTTTGCTATGGATGATTGGATGATGGTTGTCCATTTTAGCAACCTTTGTCTCCAGTTTGTAAAAGCAAATTGATATTAAATTGTCAAAAAAAACGAAAAAAAAAATTGGGAGGGGACCAGGGGAGGGGGTACATTGTAAACTGAAGAATACAACGAAATCCTTCTTGCGGCAGCAAAAATGTAATGAGAATACTCAAACTTATCTGGTAGAAGTTGCTCTCTTGATCTGATTGCAAATTCTCGTAACTAAAGATCAGATCTTGGGAGTTAAATGGTTAATTACACGTAATATGAAAAAGTCAATTTTTGTGAAAGTTGTATGGTGTATGTTTTGTTTTTGTATAGTGTGAATTACAACATGGTAACATGTATCAGCGTTTGCAGGAAAATTTTGAATATTATGGTCGACATGTAACACTCCTCTCTAATTGTAGTTACTGATGATGGTTGCTGATGGGAAATTTTCCCCCATCAATGAGTGTCTGTCTTAAGCAAAAACAAGTTTCTTGTTATTCTCTTTACTCATCGGTATAATTTTTTTTGTTTCAGTTGCATTTCATAATGCCATTCCATTTATTGGATTTGGGTTCTTGGATAATGCCATTATGATAATTGCTGTGAGTACAATGCACCAGATATGAGACATAATAAATGCTCTTATGGTCTGCTTTTTATTTTTTGGGGGATTGCAAGAGGGGTCTCTGATCCCATTTCACCAACAAATTTTAGAAAAATTCATGGGTCACGCGTTCCTTTATCAGTTCTAAATCACAAATTTAAAAGGAAAAACTGCTAATCTCATCTTGGTGCTAAACACACATCTCGTATATAAATCCTTTGCTACCCTCTCACAAGAACCAAAGATAATGGAGCCTGCATCAAGAGGAGACTCTGAGGACCTTTGCTAATGTCACTAATGGACTCAATTACAGTGTTTGCATCCATCTAATAGAAGTTCTTACTGACACAGGATTGCTTTACAATGATTTTGGGAATGAAAAATCAGGACTTTAAGTTGGTGTCCACTAACATGTAATTGTGTTTGTCTGCTTTTAATTGGACATCACACATTTTGGCCCTTATGGATGTGAGATCTTGGGCTGAAATATATATGGATTGTTATGTATGGGGAGTTGCAAAAATTTCCTTTCTAACAAGAGAGGCAGCTGTTTCTCACAATTACCTAATAATGTTACCATCTTTTATCTATTTTTAAGGGAGAATACATAGATTTAACAATTGGACTGACCCTAGGGATTTCAACAATGGCAGGTTTGATTTGAACTTGTAATTTTGTTTTATATGTTGCTGAATAAAATAAAGATGTTTAAATGTGTACATGCATATCTCAGCAAAATTTTACCAAATAGAAATGAGCAATGTAAGGTCTAGTGAGGAGCCAGTGCTTTTCATGGCAAAAGCAAGTTGTTCTGTTTGAGTTTAAGTATACCCAGTAGTAGAAGTGCTTAGGCCTCTTTGCTAGTGCATGATAGTGTTTCATTCCTTATTTTCTTTTTGACTTTGTGGTTATCTTGTAATAAGTATAACCCTTTAACTCCCAAGATTTCATTAGTAATTCTCCTTACTGTCTGCCATACAATTTATACGAGCTTAGTTTAGAGAATTTGGAATTGGATCAACCAATAATCCCCAAATTGATATTTTTCTTCATTCTCATCACTTATCTGGTTGATACTGTATTGATATTGTAAGGAGAAATTCTCTCTTGGTCACTCATGGGAGTTAAAGGGATAATGTGTGAGGTTTTGGTGTACCTGGTAATGAGAAATATCCAAATTTTGATTTTGAATTTCAGCTGCAGCCCTTGGTAATATTGTGTCTGATGTCTCTGGAATAGGGTAATTGCATTTAATTTGGGAAGAAAAAATTTATTTTCAATTTTGTTTTGATTCGCTGAGTTTGTTCTTTCTCATTATATTCAGTTATGACTCTCTATTTGGTATACTTGATACAGTTTAGCTCACTATGTTGAGGCAGCAACAAACAGACTTGGCTTTGAGAGCCCTAACCTTAGTTCAAAACAAACAGAGATGCCAAGGACAAGATTTGTAACAAACTTGGTAAGGGTTGCATAAAATTTATTGGGAAAGAAACGAATGCTGGAAACCTTGTTTTAGGTGTTACCTTTCCACTATTTCTGTTAGAAAAACAGATTAGGAGACAGACTGACAGACATCAGCTGGTCATCAGTGAAAGAGGGTGTAAGACAGACAGAAAGACAGACAGATGGACTGACAGAAAGACAGACAGACATACAGAAAGACAAACAGATGAGCTGACAGCCAAAATGATAGTCAGGAAGAGATGGATGGACAGAAAGAAAGACTGCCTGACAGACAGATGTGCAGGACTAGCCACAACCATGATGTTCAGAAAGAGTGATAGATGGACTGACAGACAGACACAGACTGACAGATTGATAGAGAAGGTTTAATTGCAGACTACAAAAAAAAAAATAATAAATTAAGAAAGGAAGATAGAAAGGGTAATCTGTCATTAGTGATAATTAAAAAGTTGAACTGTGTTAAGTGATTTCTTGTTGTGGATTGGTAGCTGTTTGCTTTCCATAGGAAGTAATTAATGTAGACTGTGATATAACTGTGAAACATTGGAATATTTCTCTCTCCTCATTCTCTAATTGAGTTCTTTTATTTCTCAGGGAAGAGCCTTGGGTATTGTTGTAGGATGTTTTGTAGGGATGTTTCCATTACTCTTTTACAACAGCAAAGAAGACCATGAAGAAAAGTCAACACACAATGAAATTAAACAATAAAGTAGTTAAAAATATAACTATATTATAGAAATCGCTTAATGACAAAATTAACCTGGCGTAAGGATGCCTGGTTTGATGTAGTATGAATGCTGTTGGCACTTTTCATGAGCCTTTTTCATGGTGATCTCTCACACATGTTGTTTGTCTTCTTGCCAAGCACCTGCTACAGAGGCAATGACAAATGTATAATTGTCATTAGTTTCAAATGGGTTTCCTTTTATCGCTGTAGATATACATGGTAGACTCATCATTGTGAATCCTCAATTCACAATCAGAAATTCTTTTAAAAAATTAGTCATTTACAGCCTTGCAAATTGTCAGGTTGTAGAAAATATGAGTTTTACTCTCGCACAGAACTCTTCACATTATTTTGGACAGTTTATGAAAATATTGTATTTTTGCAAACATTAGTTGCTAATTACCTCTCTCATATTTTGGGTAATGGCCAGTCGCATTTCTTAGGGATACTGAGGTTTTATTGTTGTTTAGAACTTTTTCATCACTCAGAGGTCTGTGAATTTATCTGTTGAGCAATATAATTTATAGTTGGGTTTCTTGCTCAAAGCTACATAAAGTTAACATATATATTTAAATTATTTTACCGGAAAATGTGAAAATTTAATTAATAAATTACCATACACTGTGTTGGTTGGTTTTTTCGTTCTTGATCCAAACAAATGGAAATGTGGTTACATTTGTAGATGGTCATGTAGATTGCTATTCATTTCAGTGGATTTTATGAAAGAACACAGTGAATACAGCAGGCTACTTCTTACCAGATAGTCAGATGTCTCCACAAATGCCACCTTTGACCAGAAATAACTGGATGTTGTAGGGTCTTGTGATAGAGGATGAAGAGTACTTATTTAAAGGCCATGGGTTTGATTCCTCTTTTTCCTAATGGGTACATCAAAGTTAGGCAAATCAATTTGAAAACATGAGGCAGTGTTGTGGTTGAGTGTATAGGACACTGGACATGCAATCTGTTGGTCCTGGGTCAAAATCTCTGCCATGCTACTCCCTGGATCTGTTCTTAGTTGCCTTGAGTTTGAACTCTCTGGCTACGCTAACTCTAGAAATAGCTTTGAGTTTAATTATAATATTTTGCTCATTGGTCTTTCTATTGGCCCTGAAAAGCCCCCTTGGCATAGTAGTCAATTAAATTAATATCCATTTAGTTATTTATTGGCAAGTTATTCTAATAGCTCTGAGTAGAATATGTTACTAAGATTAAAAGCAGATTTAAAAGGATAAGTTCTAATTTTAGATTTAAAAGAAGAAATACAGGCTGAGAGTATAATCATAATTTAAAAGGGAAACGTTCCATAGTTTTGTAGCAGCGACAGACAGGAAACTTGCTCCGTTTTTTTCACGGTATTCTTTCACTGCATGTCCTTACAGGTCTCTGAATTTGACTTTGAGAAAAAATGGGCTTCTGGTCTCACTTATCTTCAAAGACGATCCCTTTTGACTGGTGTTAACATGTAGATGGGCCTTTAACTGGTGGAGCTCACGAGATTGTGGGCGGAGGGGAAGGCGTAGTTAAAACTGAACAAACAGTTTTTCAGCTTTTTTTCCCTCTAGACGGGCCTGAACGGAGAGCACTTATGGGAGAGGGGTCGAGGGTTGGGGCGGTCTTATAACCCGAATGTTTACCGTTGATTCACAGTACAGATATCAGATTGACTTGGAATTTTAGCGCTTATTTTTCAAGAGAGGGTGGTTGAGTTACATCGAAAAGGTTAAGCTAAACAAAAACCAGAGGTTGAGCGGGTGGGTTTTCACGAGATTTTAAATAGGCGTGTTCCGGCTGGACTACTGAGGCGTGCGAATAAACACTTGTTATTGGACTTGACTGTAGGAGAAGATTTCACAATACTGCAGGTACCAGAAGATGTTTCTTAAACGGGACATGGCGAAGTTTACGTGAAAAGTGTCTACAGTGTCAAATAAAACTAATAACACTTCAAGCAGGTACAATACACGACACTGTTGTGTTTTTGACAAATGAGTTTCCTGCTTTTTGGAAAGTAGTTAATATTTTATTTCAGGAAGTCTTTGGCACTGGTTACTTCTTCGCGATCGACGATGTTCGTTTTTTACGTTGGTTGAATTTAGGAGAAAATGGTCGTTGATTTTTATGAAATGAAGAGATAGAATGAGAGATGAATGACTGTTGCCAACAGTTGGCAGAAAGGAAGGAGTATTACAAGCGTCGTCGAGTAAAGTGAACCGCTGTGCTTTCGTGAGGCAAAACTAAGAAGAGTGTTGTTGCTGAGAGATTTCAAAGGAGTATTGTTGTCTTGGAAAGTGAATACTTATGACAGAAGGTGGACCGATTGAATTGAATCGAGCGGAGAATGATTAGGTGCTAAATTGGCAGACAGGTGTATGTACAAAAGCAAAACATTTTCAGATGTTACGTTCGTGAACACGAAACCATGAAAAACATGAAAGAAAACAATATCACAGCGATGGGAAAACGAATATTCATTGTGGCATCGGTTTTAATGGTTTTAACCGGACTTGTAGGAGTGCTCTTGGAGGTACACAAGATGTCACAGGACACCAATCTTACTCTCGTCAAGCACGACATCGTCGGGGACTATGATGAACTTTATGACGAGTATTTTCCTCGTCACTATCATGCCACAGGACTCCTCACTCTTCCATTCGATGATATCGTGGAGCCTTTTGAGGCGTGGTTTGCTGGGGACAGGAATATGAGTAGAATTGACTATTATTATGGTACGTATTTGCAAATGATTGAAAAATGTTCAATGAACCGTTGAATTGTAAAACCCAACAATTACAACCTAAAAATTAAGTTTGTTTTTTCTTTCTTATATTTATATTTTGGTTATACATTTGCTTGTTTTGCGGGTAATCTGCAGTATTGATGCTCTCTATTAGTATTAGTATTTTATTAAGATTTATTCCACTATCAACAACCCTTTATAATTTACACTCTAGTATCAGTATGCATATTCCCCATACCACCATACATTCCTGAGGTGATGACAAGGAGAATTTGCTTAACAAATGAATGGGGGAAAAGAAAACAGATTTGGTGAAACGATGAATTAGTTACAAAGAGTTAGAAAAAAAGGAACAGAAGACTTTATGTTGTCTCGATAGAATCCTGGATATATCCGACCTCGTATTATCTCAAACCAATGTTGGCGCAGTTCCGTGAGCACAAGGAACTCATATCTAAATCTAGTATTCCATGTTTATTTCTCAATTTTTTTACTACCTTAGGTATGGACAAAACAATTCAACGCGGAGACCTCGGTAAGCATGGCATCTTGTTTAAGATCGTACCCATGCACTCCGAGATGAAGCCTTCCAATAAGGACTTCATGAGCTGCTGGTACAAACCAGTTCCAAAATGGCTTCCGCGTGCAGGACAGAGCGTTATACCTACAAATCTGTCGGAGTTTAAGGTTCGAACGGATAAGTAAGCTTGCTGTCGACTGTGTTGTACACCTCTTTCAAGTATTTCTATTAAGCTCACCTTGATAGAGGTGTTGGTTGGAGGAGAATGCAACGCTTAATCTTGAACCAAGATAATAATAACTTGTGTGTAGGAAGTCTATGAACGGGAAATGGGATCCCAGGGTTGTTGGAGGAGGGGTGGGTGGTAGGGTTTTCTCTGGTACCACAATGGGTTACGATGAATCATCATTTTAAACAAATTTAATTTGTCGCGCATCACACAACTTGCTGCGAAGTTGTTGTACATTGCTCCTACGTCGGCTTTAACCCTTTTACAACCTAACATCAGTATGCATAGTCTCCACACTGTTCTGCATTACCTAAGATGTAAATAAGGAGCATTTATTTGACAATCACGAGCTTCTGTAATCGGTGATCATTTCCTTTATTCTCGTGACCTTGATGTGCGATTCAGGGGTGATATTAGGGGGGAAATCGGACGCTTATCACTTCAAGGGGGTCAAAGGGGTTGAATCCCAGAATAATAATGTTATTCCACGGTTTTGCTTCTGTAGAACATTATTCTTAAACCTATTTATGACTTCCCTTCGTAACAATTTCAAAGGTTGATCACGTTAATGTTTTCATCTTAATTTTGCCAAAACTTCAAATGTCCTTTTGCCAACAAGCTGGTCGCACTGACGAGTTTATTAATGAATATTTCAATTCCCAACAATATTCAATAATTTTTTTTATGCGATGAAAAACCTCGACCTTATTGAAACTTTCAAAAGAATAGGCAGAGAAGACAGAAGACAACAAGTTACATATAGTGGTATGCACGACAATTAACTCTAAGTTCCTTTTTCAGTTTGTTTCCGAGGAAACGCATCGAGGAATGCCATGTTTTAAATACGAGAGAAAATACAAACGTTACAATAAAAGCAATGTATACAGCTTTTACGTAACCAAAAACACACCCCACAGACCTATGCGATACGAAATGGTGGGCTATGACGACATGCTGACGTCACATTACGATCACTACGTGTTGGACTATATATCATTCGAGCCTTGGAGCTTTAACAGATCCTTGTTAAGTTTGCCGAAAAGTAAGTGTTATTTTAGAGATTATTGGGTAGAGCAGTTTTAAATTGCCTGTTTCTTAACCTAAACAGAAGCATTTACGATGGCTTATCACAAAACGCATAAGTAACACAGTGAGTTACTGAGGTTCACTTCGAACAAGCACACGTGCTAGGTTTCAAGTAGGGTGGGATGGGGGGAATCACTGGTAACTGAGTCGCAGTTTTTTTTGGGGGGGGGGTGGTGAGTGGTAGCGCTAAGATTGTAAACAAAGTGGAGAGCTAGTTTAGTGAAAGCAGAAGACTTTGGGATGGGATACATTCCTCACCAAATGGAATGATTATGTTGGTGTTTTGTAGGCATGAATCTCGGCTGCTTTTCGTATAAAACTCTGTTTGTGGATAGAAATTGACACTGTGAGAGCAGCAGTATCCTGCTCAAACGGAAACAAAATTACAACATAGTAGCGCTCGGGGGCAAATGTTCGGACCTATTCTTCCCTCTGCGACTGCGGACTCTCACATCCGGCAGTAGTTATAGGTGTCACACATATCCTGAAAAGTCAACTCATCGCCTCACTAGATCAGTGCATGCGCAATGTTAGTCTTTAAAACAAAGTTAGTTTATAAGTCCTGAATGCATAACATGCCTCCAATAAAATTTGCATTTTTTTTTTTGAAAGACTCGAGCTGCGACAAGAAAGCGAAGAAATTACGTTCGCATTATTTAGCGAATCCTATGGCGGAATATATGCACTTCAAACATCACAAAGATTACGAGCTCGACAAGACTTACGATGACTACAAGGCAACACATGGCAAGCATTACACAACTGCACCGGAACACGAGCGACGAAAACATATCTTCAAACACAATCTCAGGTACTTACATTATAATTATGCATGCCAATCGTGTTGGTAGATCTTTCGGCGTACTTTGCACGCTGCTAGCTTTGTGTGTCATCACAAATTTTCTTGTAAAAGTATTTGGATGTCTTGCGTATTAGCTACAAAAAGTATAATAGATCCTCAACCTTTTGATCCCTCAGGGTCAAAAGGTTAAGGTCGCGAGAATAA